CAATGCTGGCCAGAGACAGAATTTAGGCAAGGGATAATATGAATTGTTGTTGCAAAGATTAGCATGTGAACTTTCCGGCTCTATCCCTCATCTCACACCCAGGACAACACTCCATCCCATTCACAGGATACAGGTGCTTAATATACTATGATCGCATCCTTTATTGAAGGCAGTGAAAGGGAAAATATTAAGTCCCCAAACTCCTCCTCCTTATCTCCCACTTTTTTGGGTACATCCAGAGAATACCTAAAATCATGGAAAGGGGAAAAGAGAGGAGGGTTGTATATTTGGGACTCCAGCTGCAGGCCACAGTGTATAAATAAAAGAAGGGAGGGCAATCACAAAGGAGGCGCTTTCCCACCTCAGTCTTACTAATACCCCCAAATTCATGAGAGCCAAGTCTTAGGTCCTTGGGACCTTTTCTCTTCCTCACACACCGGTCCTTGTCTCTGATCCAGGGTCTGGGTCATTACTGATCTTCTTCCTTCAGTCCTGGTTACAAGCAGATGAGAGACATGGGCTGCAGCTGCTTGTGACCAGCGCTGCCCAGCAATCTCAGTCCTCAAAATCAACTGCCAGTCACTGATATGGTGAACAGGAAGCCTTAATCCAATTGCCGTAACTCTCTGTTCTCCACTGGAATCATGGCAACCAAAAAGTCCTTCTGAATAGCAACAGAAGGAAAGTGAACCCAGAGCTGTATGTCAGTATGCATGTCTCACCCCTTCCCCTGTCCTCTTAGTCAATTTTATGTCCATTGACCATGTGCTCCCAAGAATGCCAGTGCTGAAGGGGGAGAAGGTCCTTTATACTTCATCCAGATATTTCTTTTTCCTTTTTTCTGTGTTCTGTTGCCATCTCTCTGTCTCCTGAGATAGAGATATGTGAATAGTAATTTGAAAAAGATAAGAATTTATGGCATGGCTACAAGTTAGAGTGGACGGTGAATGACACTAACAAGAATATCACCATTACATCAATTACCGAAATGCAACAGTTTGTATGTGTTGTGGAAGTCTCTAGCAAGGTCCTTTATTCCTGGAGCAGTGGCACAGTGGATAAAGTGCCAGGTCTGAGGTCAAGAAGACCTGAGTTCAAATCTGGCCTCAGATACTTACTAGCTGTGTGACCCTGGGCAAGTCACTTAACTGCTGTTTGCCTCAGTTTTCCTAACTGTAAAATAACAATACTACCTCCCTCCTAGAATGGTTATGAGGATCAAATGGGAAATTTGTTAAACACAGTGCCTGGTACATCATAGGCCCTTAAATACTTGATCTCTTCCCCCCTTTTCCCAGCAGGTCTTCAGTGAAGCAATGGAAAATGTTAACAGATCCATTCATGATTTTCAGTTGGTCCAAAAACTGCAGAGAGCTTGTGAGATCCTCCAGCAGCTGAAACAGTTTGCTTCCCGGTTTTCCAAGACATTCCAGGTAAGAGAATGAATTGAAGGGGTCAACGGGTAGCTTAAAGGAAGGAAAAGAAAGGCAGAGAGGAGAATATGAAAAAGTGAGAGTCAGCCTTTTTAGTCAAAGTTTTGTCCCTCTCCCAGAGCCTCACACAGTGCTCTGCAGACAGGGAGCACCTTAAAAAAGGGGTTGGTTTTTGTTATTAACTGGTGATGGAAAAGACCAATTAAACAAATTTCAAAGGGCAGGAAAAGAAAGTGGGGATGTGTTTCTTTCTGCATGAAGGAAAGTGCAGATCCATGGAATTACTGAAGGGAAATATTGAAGAATAAGGCCATCTTTAGTAGTCAAAGCTGAATTCAGCACTATCAAAGTATTTCTTCTACTTGGTCTAGATTAAATTTGCAAATGAGTAACCATTACTTCATTTTTAAAACTTTTGTCTATTTTAAAGTAAATTTTATTTTTTTTTAATTAATGAAAATCTTGCCTTCTCTTCCATCCACCTTCCATTTCAAACCCCCTGCCCCACACACATACATACACTGAGAACAAAAGAAAGACAGAACAACGCCTGTTACAAATATAGTTCATCAAGCAAAACAAATTGCTTCATTGGCCATATATGAGTCTCAATCTGCACCATGTCTCCTCATGAGCCCTATGGAATCATGATTTGTCATTGTGTTGATTTGACTTCTGAAGTCTTTCAAAATTGTTTGTTTTTACAATAATATCTAATTATTTACTTAATCATTAGTAATTTAGAGCATTTTTAATATGGCTATTTATACCTTGTATTTCTTCCTCTGAAAACTGTCCCTATCCTTTGATCATTTATGGGAATGGCTTTTATTCTAATAAATTTGAACCAGTTCTCTATGTATCTTATAAATGAGACCTTTATCAGAGAAAATTGCTATAAAGATTTTTCCCATTTACCTGCTTATCTTCTAATTTTATCTGAATTGGTTTTGTTTGCACAAAAACTTTTTAATTTTATGTGATCAAAATTGTCCATTTTATCTCCTGTGTTTCTTTCTATCTCTGTTTTGGTCATGAAGTCTTTCCCTATCCATAAATCTGACAGAAAATTTCTTCTTGTTCCTCTAATTTGTTTATGGTGTCACCCTTTATGTCTAAGTCATGCCTCATTTGGAGCTTATGTTGGTATATGATATGAGATGCTGGTTTACATTTAGTTTCTCCCTGAGTACTCTCCAGTGTTCCCAATAGATTCTGTCAAATAGTAAGTTCTTACTCCAATAACTGGGATCTCTTTGTTTATCAAATACTAGACTACTGGCCTCATTTGTTTTGTATATTGTATACAATATAAAGAGTATATATTTACAGTGTATCTGTTGCACTGCTCAACCTATTTCTTAATCAGTACCAAATTGATCTGTAATTATGTAGAATAGTTTAATATCTGATACTGCTAGGTCCCCTTCATTCTCATTTTGAAAACCTTAAGGCACTATATATAAATATTAGCTGTTATTATTAGTGGGATTGAGACCATGAGTGGCTGCTGCACTTCCAGCTTGGATGAGATGGGGAAATCCAGTGAAGGAAGAAAGGAAGGAGGAGAGAGAGAGACAGACAGACAGACATACAGAGAAAAGAGAGAGAAGGGAGGAAGGAAGGAAGGAAGGAAGGAAGGAAGGAAGGAAGGAAGGAAGGAAGGAAGGAAGGAAGGAAGGAAGGAAGGAAGGAAGGGAGGGAGGAAGGGAAGGAAGGGAGGAAGGAAGGAAAGAAGGAAGGAAGGAAGGAAAGAAGGAAGGAAGGAAGGAAGAGAGGGAGGGAGGAAGGGAAGGAAGGAAGGGAGGGAGGGAGGAAGAGAAGGAAGGAAGGAAGGGAGGGAGGGAGGGAGGAAGGGAAGGAAGGAAGGAAAGAATAGTTGCTCAGAGCAGTAAAATTGAATGATTTACCCAGGACCAATATGGAGCAGAGATAGGGTCTAAACCTAGGTCTTCCTGTTTTAAGAAGGGCCAGGCCAACTCTAGACAGAATAAGAGAACAAAAGCAGCATAGTGGACCTCTACGTGGCGCTGCAGTGGACAGAGTGCCAGGGCTCTAGTCTGGAAGACCTGAGTTAAAATCCAGCTTCAGATGCTTATTAGTAGTGGGCAAATCACTTACCTTCAGTTTCCTCATCTGTAAAATGGGGGTAATAATAGCACCTACCTCCCAGGGTCATTGTGAGGATAAAATGTCATGATATTTATAAAGAGGCTGGCAAATCATAGTCACCATACAGATGTTTACTATTATTATTGGCACTTCCCGCATTATAGGTGCTCAACAAATATTTGTCTATTTTATTTTAAATCAACTCTTCTGCAGGAGGGCCCCATTAAAAAAAAAGAATTAGAAGGAGAAAAGAGAGTGTATTCTGTTTCTTTTAGTCTACTACCTAATCTTGTGTAAGCCTTTCATGATTTCTTTTAGCCTAGGAACCCATTTATTAGCCCATTATTTCTTTTTTTTTAATTAAATTAAATTTTTTTCAGTTAGCAAACATCCATTTTCTCCCTCCCCCTTCCCTGTAAAAAAACAAAACAAATGTGCATGTAGCCCACTCATTTTCAGAACTATTCATTTCCTCTGCCAACTCAATCAGCAGTGATGATTTTCTCTGGATTCCTCTCTTTTTGTTACATTCAACATTCTATCCTCCTAGCCCACAAAGGTTGACCAGTGTTTTTGAACAAAATACAATGAGAACTCTTTCCTATTAAAGAATATAAAATAGGATTTTTATGTTCCTACCAAATGATAACATTATTTATGTCCATTAGAATATCAGGGGATTTTAGTCCTAAGAAATCTACGTGGAATTTCTAAAGTATCTTGTATTCCCCAAAGAAAAAAGCACTAAATACATAAAAGACAGTTACAAAAAAGTTTAGGGATGGGGTGTGTGTGTGTGTGTGTGTGTGTAATTGTTTGTTTTTTAATATTTCCAGATCAATGGCAGCAATCGCCTTCTCCACCCAAGTGAGCCGTTGCTGAAGGTCCAGTCTCCAAGGGGGAATCCTCTGAATGCCCCCGTAGCCCTCTGCCCCGGCAACTATGACATGGAAGGTTCTGAAACGAGTATAGTTGGGGCCCAACAGGATTCAATGCAGGTGGGAGCAGAATCTTTAACTACTGAGTCTAAATGCTGATTCCAAACACCTCACCTCACTACCAGTCATGTTCTCTTTCTGAGATTTTAGAATAATCCTGCCATGGGAATCACTGCTATAGAAACTACACACTGAAATCTTCCAGGGTCCCACACCCCAACCATTCATCGAGTGAGCAGTTCAGAGAACAAACAAACATGTTTTTTCTTAGAAAATTAAATATTCTCCCTTATGGTACTCCTAGGGTCAGACTTGGCTACAGGACAAAGAGACATTTCCTTGATTCTCTCTCTTATTTGGTAATGGTTGATCTATCTTTAGTCAGTGTGGAAGTCTCTTCTATGGGGTCTCATGAGTAAAATGTACTTTTCTGGTCATCTTTGCTTGAGACTTGGTTTTCCCTCGGTCTACACTGTCACTTCAGTCATGCACTATTGGGAGTGAGGTAGGGAGGAGGATGGGACACAAGGCAGATGGCATTTCCCTGCAAATGCAGATGGAAGACACGTTGGAGACATCTTTGATAGCCCTGGGGAAGATACAGGAGGCCCTCCTTCCAGCCAGCCAACCTTCAGAGTCTTCGATGATAGTGACCTCTTCTCTTGCCACTCTGATGCTAAGAAGGTAATGGAGAAGGGAGGAAGGGGGGAGCTCCCTTTAGAGCTCAGGTTTTCAGAAGAAAAAAATAATTCCATCTTCCTTTTCTTCCCCTCAGCCAAAATATATCAACTTTGTCTTCAAGTTCTTATACTCTTGGCTACCCAGCGCCTATGCATTTAGGCTTCCCATCGGCCTCTGCTTTGGACGATCTCCTGAGTAAACACCAAAGTGTAAACATTCACGTGAGTGTGAAGTTGTTCCTGAACAGAACCGTCTGTTCTGATGGCCAAGGGCGAAGTACTATGCAAACATGGCATTATTATTACGAATATAAGCTGGCCAAAGCAGTAGGTGACATTATGCACACAAACCCTGTGGATATGTATAGGAGCAGAGATGTTTATATGCTACAAGCTTCTGAATTTAACTGAAGGCCTGTGTTCAGTGAGAAGCAGCCTGGCAACAGAGGATGGATAGTGGGCCAGCCTCAGAGTCATGAAGATTTGAGTTCAAATCCTGCCTCAGACACACTGGCTGTGTGACTTTGGGGCCACATGCTTGACCTCTCAGTGCTTGCCAGTGTGTATTGGTAGAATGAGTTGCCCATATCATAGGAATTTCCCATATCAGTGAAATCACATGTCAAGCTCCTATACCTATCTGTATTCTGCACCATGATCTGAATGATTTCAACTTGTTTCCCTCTAAAATCTGTATTCAGGAAGACTCATCTTCCTGAGTTCAAATCTGGCCTCAGACACTTACTAGCTGTATGACCTGGGCAAGTCACTAACCCTGTTTGCCTCAGTTCGTCATCTATCAAAATGAGTTGGAGAAGGAAATGGCAAACCGCTCCACTATCTTTGCCAAGAAAACCCCAAATGGGGTCACAAAGAGTCAGACACAACTGAAATGATTCAACAACAAACAAAACTTCTATTCAGAGCCATCACTAGGTTGGGGTGTCTGAGATTGTGCCCTAGCATGCCAACATCTAAGGCCATGTTTGTGGTCTTCTCAGCTTGATTTCCTCTTACTTCACACTGATCCAGCCCAAGGCCACCACCCTCAAGGTTCTACCTCTCTTCCAAGCCTATCCTCTACAACCACACCTCCTGCCCTCCAGATTCTAAGCTTACCTCCTAAAACAGGGGAATTGGAGGTCCAAGACCATTGCCTTCCTCAACTGCATTCACCCTGGATACAAAAATACCCTAGTTATGGCTCTGTCTCTTCTAATGTAAATGTACAAAAGTTGAGAAAAATCTGAATAATGGGTGACACGACACATGATCATATCAGTAGATAGCATTTGTTTCTGTAGTCTCCTAATTAGCTTTAGACATATCACTTGCCCCTATCCTGGAGAGCAATAGCATTTAGCACTCAGCAAAAAGGCAAGTCTCCAGGTGCGTGGTAAGGCATAAGGGCAAAATTACAGGACTCACAACAGTGTGACATCTTTTATTAATTTTCATTTTCATTCCTTTCTGTGTGACAATGAGAGAGATGTTTGTATTTAATTTCACTAAATAATTTGTATTTAATTTTACTACAAATCCTCTCAACATTTACTCTAACTTCTGATGCCTGGTATTTATCACTATATGCCCTCCACTGAGGTTGTAACAGCAATCTTCTCTTTGCCTTTAGGTTACTGGGCTGGCTTTTAATCCCTTCAAGCATTTTGATGAGCAGGATATCGTTGGAAGTGTTGGAAACGTATTACTCACCTCTAATCATAAATCTCTTCAAATCCAAGACCTGTTGGAAGAGGCAGAGGTACATATTGAGTGTCAGGCCCCAGGCAATAATAGAAGAGAATGAAAGGACTTAGCTACTGAGGAAAGAATCATTTTAATTGGATGGCAGTTTATTTTGTTACTTACATTGTTGCTATGGAGGCTATAACAAAAAGGTGTAGTACCTTAGACCTTGAGGAGAAAACCTCAAGACTCAAAGTCTATCACAGTTCTAGGTCCTACTCCTATTCCTTGCTGTGAAATCATATTGGTTTTTGTTTGTTTTTTAATTCATGGCGTGCGGTACTTGTATTAGTGCCTAAACGGACCTCAATGGGCAACTAATACAACAGCTCTTGTTCCAGAATGTTTTACTGGATAATGGGGCACTTACTCCTTAGGTCTACGTATATTTTTGAGTCTTCTAACACTGATGTCTGATAAATATTGAAGTGGGTAGTGAAGCAAAGATTATTTATTACCTTTATAAACTCAATTGAAAATGAGTCCAGAGCATTGATGAACAGCCTCAAACCCTGAGGACAATGAATCTTTTCTTTTTCTAGATAATACTCTGGAGAGATGGCAGCATAGAAACCTATCCCACCAGCTTCAACATGAGAACAGACTGCTTTGTGATCACAGTAAACATCACTTCCCTAGAAGAATCTCTAATAGTCTGGGTAGAGCCTGAAAATCCTCTTTCCATCACACTCTACCTTGGTTTCCAGTATCAACCTAATAGTACTCATTTTCATTTGAACATCACCCTCCCGAAGGAACAGATATGGGAGAAAGGTAAAATCTCATCAATTATATTATAGTTCAGGAGTTTCAGAATTGGAAGGAACTTCAGAGGCCATCTATGGAACTCATTGATATTTCACTAAATCCATAAATTAATTTAGGTAGTATTATCATTTTTATTATATTGGCATAGCCCAGCCATAAGGGTGATAATCTCTCCAATAATTAAAGTCTCCTTCCAAAGAATGCTTTGTAGTTGCACTTAAATAATCTTATGCACATCGTGGTAGATGAACTCCTAGATATTTATGTATTCCTGGTTATTTTAATGGAATTTCTCTTACAGTATTTTCTTCCTCTTTTTTGCTACTACTTATAAAAATATTGATGATTTTTGTTGCATTCTATTACCATAGTGAAGCTATTAATCATCTCAATTAATTTCTTTGCTGATTCATAAGGGTTTTCTAAGTTGACCATCATGTCATCTGCATATATGAACAACTTTTCTTTGCCCATGTTTATACATCTTTATTTTATTCTGTCTTACTGCTATAGTAAGAACTTCTAGAATTATATCAAATAATAGTGGAGAGGAAAGACCTCTTTGCTTCACTCATTTGCATTGAGAAAACTTCTAGCATTTATTGCAAACAATGTTAGCTCTTGGTTTTACATATATGCTTTTGAGAATATTAGACAAGAGCTCTTCTATGGGGGTATGCTTTTTAGGATTTTAATATAAATGAGTGTTGTATCTTGTCAAAGGCTTTTTCTGTATCTTTCGAAATAAGTATGTGTTTTGTTAATTTTGTGGTTTATATTATTGTACCAATTATTTCCCTAATGTTGTATCATCTTGCATTCCCAGTATGAATCCAACTTTCACATAGTGAATTATTTTCTGAATGTATTGATATAGTTTCCTGTCAAGGACTTATTTACTGCATTAATATTCATTAAGAAAAATAACTAACAATTACATAATGCATACTCTGTGCCAGGCACTTTATAATTACTCTCATTTTGATCCTCACAACCACCCTGGGATGTAGGTGCTATTATTATCCCTATTAAATTAGATGAGGAAACTGAGATTAACTGAATTGCCCAGCATCACACAGTTAGTAAATGTCCAAAGTCAGATTTGAATTAAAGTCTTCTTGACTCCAGGCCCAGTACTCTACTAACTGTGCCACCCATTGATCTCTGCTTCTCTTTCTCTGCCTTGTCTCTCCCTAGTTTGCATGAGGACTGCTATTTGTCTCATAAAAGAAGATTGGTAGAGTGCCTCCTATCTTCATTTTAGGGTTTTTTTGTTTCATAGTTGTTAATCACTTCTTAAATATGTAATATAGTTCACGTATAAATTCATCTAGTCCAGGGTTTTTATCTTCTTTTTAGTTCATGTGTTGCTTGCTCAATTTCTTTTTCAGAGATTGGGTTGTTTAATGTTTCTATTTCTTATTTTGTTGGTTTGGATTTTTTTTTTTTTTGTAAATACTCATCAACTTCCACTAGTCTTAGAAGCTAGGAAGACTTGGGTACAAATCCTTCCTCTGACACATACTGGCTCTAGGCAACTCTCAAAAATTATAGGTTGGAGAGATAGTACTGCACTGGTAGAGGGATTTTCTTCACTTGGGATTTTACACCAATGAAATCACAGGTCCAATACCTCTCTTTATCCCTCCCCTTTTGAAGCTCAGATAAGAATGTAGCACCTAGGATAGAGCTCCAGACTTGGAATTAGGAGGACCTGAGTTCAAATCCGGCCTCAGACACTTGACGCATACTAGCTGTGTGACCCTGGGCAAGTCACTTAACTCCGATTACCTCACCAAAAAGAAAAAAAAAATGTAACACCTAGTTATCCCTGCTCCTCCTACATGTACACCCTCCTCATCTACTATATTTCATTGACATTAATTTATGATATCCCTCTCCAATATTATTTTCATTCTATGCCTTCTTTATTTTTTTCCACTTTTGAGATACTCCCAAAAATATTCCCAAGAACATTAGCTATCAATGGAAGCAACAAGGTACAGTGGGAAGTATTCTGTAAAGCTAGTCTGAGGACCTGAACATTTCCCTTTATCTCTTATCCCTTTTGATATCCTGACAGACTCCCTTTGAACCTAGCAGCTCCCTCCACGTCAATGACTTTCTCTTTCCAAGTGTGTATGTTGGAATGATGTTGCTTGTGTCAGGTGGACTGAACCAGCCTCTAACCTAAGGATGGCCGGAGCCAATCAGAGCAGGCTAGAGATAGGACAGTCAGGAATCAAACGGAAGTTTAATTTCAAAATGAGGGAAACAGCTTACAAGCAAGGAGGCAGATTAGACACATGTGCTGGGGCCCTGCCCCTAGTAGGAGGACCCACCTCAGTGTGGCTGAACCTTGATTTATATATTTGTGGCTAGACAAAGAGTCAAACAGAATAGTGTAGCAACAGTGGTGGGGCACAACAGCAATAGTGAGGCGAGGTTGTCTAGTGACAAAAAGTCCGTTCATAGCAGGGCCTCATGTTGGGGCCTGTTGGTGCTTGTCCAAGCTCAGGAACCATCAGTTCCAGAAGGTGAGAGCAAAGGATTGTTGTTATGCCAAGCTCAGGGCACCTCTTGCTTGCTGGGCCTTAGCTCTGGAAAACAAGATGTCTCCTAATAGTATCTTGACAACTGTTTAGTTTTCGCCCATGCAGGTTAGATATGTCCACATGGGTCTGTCTACATCCGCTTGAAGGAAGACAGGAATAGGCATCTTTAACATAGCCTCCCCCCATTCTTTTCAAGGGAGATTTTGATTCCTGTCAGGAAGGATGGAGCCAGAGACTGGCTTCTCTGCTCTCCTCAGCCAGAGGGAATACTAGGCTAGAATTATATCTATCTACTCCCTTAAATGTTATTAGTCTAGGAGAAATAACATTTAGGTTCAAGCTACAGCTCCTGATCACTGTTCCTTAACAGGGAAAGAGGACCCCAAGCTCTATCCAAGGCTTGATTCTCTTCCCACCAAATGTCAATTCCACAATGAATACACAGAGCAAATAGCAAATAAATCCATTTATCCAAGCCAATAGCAAAAAAGAAATCAGAGAAAAAATACACATGAAAATATATGCCAGACAATCCAGACTGCTCAACCAAGATAGTCCCAGATCCTACCCAAAGGGAAATTCCTTGAAGTCTCTAGTGTAGCAAGTTAGGGAATGGGGACATGGCAGAGACTCACTGCTACTCTACATGTCAACTTCTTCCCAAAGTTATTGAGAATCTTTGTGGACCTGAAAAGAGGTTGGAATCATTCATCTTGTCTCTCAAAAATGGAATCCAGAACAGCCAAGGATCTCTATTCTTTCCCACTTCCACCAACTCCTCCACTCCCCCACCCCATCCCCATAGGCAATCTCTACCAATAAGGAGAGTCCCATACAACTGGCCCTTTGAGTCAAAGGTTTCATGAGCAACTCACTACCTATTCCTTTTGTGGGGTGTAGGTTTCTTTTCAAAATTCTGCTGTACACAGAATAGTCACTACCTTGGGGAAAAAGGGAAAGTGAAAAAGTGCCTGTTCCTTGCTGCCTTCAGAGCCTAGGGTGCTTCCCAGCTTGTGGTTTTTAGGGGTAGCTGGATTCCAAATTCATTGTCAGGCTTGTAACAGTTCAATTTCAACTCTCTATTTTGCCCTAATTCCTCTTCAGTATCCCTAAGCCCCCACCTGGGTCAGCTTCTACTGATCAGATAGTCTTCTTGTTGAGGTCAGATTCTCGGGAGAGCGGTTTGAGTGTGAAAGAATTCCCTTAGACATTCTCAATAACCAATGGGAGCTATTATTTACATGAAAAAGCAACATGAGTCTCATTAACAAGAAAGCTAATTGAGATGCTGATATTTGGGAGGACCAGGCTTATATAGACAGAAAGCAATACAGCTTGAATATGTTCAGGATGATGATGTAGTTTTAGGGTTTTATGGTGGTTGAAGATTAAGGAAGAATTTTATGACACAGGATGAGGGAGATGGTTGCTTAGAAGATAAGGAGGAATTTTATGACAGGAGATGAGGAAGATAGTTGATAGGATAAGAAGGACAGGGGGACACAGGATAAGCAAGAAAAAAAGCAATTCTTTTGGTCTTACAAGATAAGGAGAAGTTCTGTGGTCTTTCAAGATAAGGGGAAAAGGACTTTAGGACGCCCTCAAGTTACAGGATCTCAAATTACAGGATGAGCTACAAAATGAGCCCAAACCCCTCAGGAGGCGGCTTCATAAAGTACTGGAAAAACAGCTCTTAATGTTCTTTTAACTCTTGGGACACCACATGCTGTCTCCACATCATTCTGACTCCAAACAGGGAACGCTCTGTTTTCTCTACCATTCTCTATCTGTAAGCTTTAAGTAGGATATAACACATAGCTCTGGATTTCTGTTGATCAACAGTTTATCACATTTGGGGGCTTAACAAGAGGTATCTAGGACAAAGGTTAATGCCTCTCAAGCCCAGAGGAAAGCAAGTGGGTTTAAAGTGAGTAAATGCATTTAACTATCTCCAGGGAGAGAGAAAAGGGAGGAAGAAAGTAAAGTTAACAATCTATCTTCCAAGCCCAAACTGAATCAGTGGTGGAGAATTCACTCAGGACATAGTTTTTGCTTGAAACATTATCACAGCGTCTCAGATTAGATTTACTGATTTCTTCCTTAAGAGTTTATTTCTATTTCTTTGATGTTTTCAGTATTTTCACTTAATTCTCTGTTCTTCTGAGTCATTTTGGAGATTTTTAGAGTTTCTCCATTGTTGTTTCAAGGGTCCTTGGAAAATTTGTTCTATTATCAAAGTCCTTCATAACCTAGCCCCCTTCTACCATTCCAGTTTTCTTACATCTTACTCCCCACGTGTCCTCTTTGATCCGGTGGCACTGTTCCACCATTAAGACATTCCATTAGCTCCCACCATTTTCTTTGGCTGTCCCCTATGCCTGGCATGCTCTTGCTCTCCAACTGTTGACTTCCCTGGCTTCTTTTAAGTCCCAACTAAAACCCCACCTTCTATAGGAAGCCTTCCCAAACCCCTCTTAATTCCAGTACCTTCACTCCATTAATTATTTCCCATTTATCCTGTATATAGCTTGCTTTGTATCTATTTGTTTGCATGCAGTGTCCCCCTTAGATTGTAAGCTCTTTTGCTTCTTTTTGGATCCCTACCCCTTAGCAGTCAGTGCCTGGCACATTATAGGCACTTAATAAATGTTTATGGATTGATTATCTTCATCTTCCTAAGGGAATTTTTACACAATTCCCTTTGCTGTGGCTCTTTTAAAAAAAAAAAATTTGTTCATCTTTCCTCCTCGGTTTTTGCCTTTTCATTTAGCTGACTTTCTATGGTATCATTGCTGAAAATGTGCTTAGCCTCAATCCTTTCCCTTCCAAAAACCTAGTGATGTTGTTCCCTACCTGCTGCCCTTGACCCCTATTCTCTCTTCTCTCAGACGACCAAGATTGGATGACGTCTATGTCTCTTAAAGGGTGAAGGTGACCACCTGGAACATTGCTTCAAGGTGACTACTCTGAGAAGCCACCATAGTTGGGCCCATTTTCTCTCTATCCTTTCCAATCTTCTGGGCTCCAACCATCTCACTGCATTCTTTGCCACTCTTCCACATTCTTGCCCCGTGGCTGTCTTCCACATCTGACTCCTTTCCTTTTTTTCCAGGTCTTGAAGCTGGTTTGATTCATGAACTGCAACTTGCTCCGGGAATAGGGTTGCAGTGCCTACGATTACAGTAGCCATGAGGGTTTTCAGAGCTATCCCTGGCTGCACAAGCAGGGGAGACCGAGGGTGGGAATACCACAGGAGATCTAGGAATAACAGGCTGCTGAGCTAGTTTTCAGTCATTTTTTTCTGTAAGACTTTCTGTAAGGGCTCTTTCACATTTCCTTTCCTGCAATTGCTGAATTTTCTGCATCTCCTTCCCTGTATTATCTGAGGTAAGAGGAAAAATGGTCCCAGACTCCCTCTCTGTCCTCTTCCTAGAATTCCCCCAGTTTGACTCATCTTGAGCAACACTGTCCTCCAACCCCAGACTTTTTCAGACGAACATCTGGCTCACCATACCTCCCTTATCTTGTACGTATGGAGCTGATGCTTTGAACCCAAATCTAGTACTTTATATAGTACATAAATATATACATAATATATAATATATATTTATTAATATACATAATATAGAATACTAGTATTTATCCTTCTCTCCTGTGAATAGCTGCTGTACTTCCAGCCTGGGCAAGATAGGGAGACCTAGTCTCAAAACAAATGAAGAACGTAGAGGAGAGAGAAAGGAGTCATAGGATGGTAGAGATGGAAGGAGAGGTGGCATGTGTAGTCAGGGTCCTACACTTGGAGTTAGACGGCCTGCATTTGAGTCCCAATGGTGTACTTTGGGCTGTGCCAGTTTCCTTGTCTGTAAAATGGGTGAGCTGAACTAGAAGGCCCTTAAGATGCTTTCCACTGCTAAAAATACGATTCTTAAATAACATCTTTAGTCCAGTTCATTTGTCTGGCATTTGGTGGGACCCGGGATCTTTTACTGGTCCTAACATTAATTTGTTTTGTGCCGCCGAGGTAATTGTGCTTACGATTTGTTTCTGAAGAAGTAACCAAATACCGTTCTCTGTTCTAAGATGAGAAGTACTCGTGGGTGCTTTCTCCAGAAAGTCTGCAACATGGAACAGGTACCTACTATATAACAGCTGTGGTGAACGAAAGCAAGAAGGACCCAAAGCAGACATTCCTGAAATTCTCAGTCACCACAGCTGCCACTCAGTGTTATTTCTGGGATCATCACAACAAGACATGGAAGAGTGATGGCTGCCGAGTAAGAAAGAGATTTATTCTAGCCTCTGGGGCGCCTATAAACCCAATACCGCTGATATCTCATTATAGAAGCACAACAGAAGGAAAAACCCGGGGGGCTAGACTGGCATATAGAAGGAAGTAGGGTGCTGTGCAGAGGGGATTGGGACTAGGTGGGGGGGCTGGAAGGAAACTGAGAAGTAGTTATTTTTTTGTGGCTACTTTCTGTTTTCTTCCTGCCTTTTTAATAGTCACACTTGAGAAATGCTGAATGCAACTGATCATTCTGGATAATGCTCAGAGTAACCCAGGTTTCAAGCCTGGGCAGCAAGCAGCATGAAGGACACAATTTACATGAGGAAACAGAGGACCAATAGAGATGACCTGGAAAACATAGACATCTCGATGCTCCCCCATGGGAACAGGGGTCGTTCCAGTTGGACAAAATGTGAATTAAATGAGCTAAGGCATGTAAGGCACTATATAAGAGATAGCTACTACTACTACTACATTTTAAGTAAAATGAAAGCAAAAAATTTTCCTACTAAAGTTAGAGGACTTTAGTGAATAAAAATAAAGAATCATCTCCCCCTTCTAGATGAGCTGACTCTCGTCTCATTGCCTACCTAAAAAGAGTACTAAGCCTTGTAATAAAACATGGCCTGGCTCCATAATTAGGGGAGATTCTTTCTATATTAACAATACAAAAGAAGTAATAAGGCATGATACAGTGGCTTCTAAACTCTTTTGATGGCATACCCCATCTGTGAAATTTTTTGAGCAGGTGCCCCTAACACATGTATATTTACTTATTAGTAAATCACATCTATGTACTACTGTTCTAATATTTATTTATACAATTTACACAATGTACAGAACACATTATAAAATCTATACATTTCATGTTATATAATTTATACATTATAAGATTTACACTAAAATATTAATTAAAAAGAATGAAATAGGGGCAGCTAGGTGGCACAGTAGATAGAGCTCTAGCCTTGGAGTCAGGAGGACCTGTGTTCAAATCCAGCTTCAGACACTTGACACTTACTAGCTATGTGACCGTGGGCAAGTCACTTAACCCTGATTGCCTCATCAAAAAGCAAAAAACAAAAAACAAACAAAAAAGGATGAAATATTTGTTCCTAGGACCAACAGAAAGAATAAGAGGAGGAATATAGGAAGATCTCTGTTCAAATTCTGCCCCTTCCTGACTGTCTGATCCTGGACAAGTCACTTAACCTCCATCTGCATCAGGCAGTCATGCCTGCATCTGGACAGAGAACTTGATGGGACTAATGCTATGTAGGAAATGAGTTATGTTTTGGCTTGTAGTCATAAGTACTAAGTGATGTGGATTCCTCACCTCACCACGCGAAACTGGTCTAACAAGGAGGATTGTATATAAAATGCCCAGTCAAACATTGCTCACAGCTCTAAGGGTCCCATTAAAAAGGAACCCCTGAGATACAGAAGGAAGAGAACATTTGACAGAAACAGAAGATTTTGCAGAATTTTGCTTTCTAGGGGTTATCAGAAAATTAAATGTATGACATTGTCAGAGAAAGTAAGTCTAAGTCATAATGGCTGCACTTTTTCTCCTTTATCTGCAGAATACTATACAGATATTAATTAAGTAGATAAATTCTACTTAGAATAATCGAATTTTATAACTGGAAAGGCCATTAAAAATTATCTAGTCCAACCTTGTGTTTCTTTGCCAGACTTATGCTGCCTAAAAGGTCATTACTGGAATGCAAGAAAGAGGACAAATTTAAAGGGCTAATGAGCACTCTGGATCTTGTATGGTTAAAGTGGCCATAGACGGCAAATTCAATTCACTAAAGCATTCAAGAGAAATGAGCCACGTGAGGCCTAGCCAAGAATGTGCTGGACTGAGAAGCAGGAAGCTCTGTCTTTGACAAAGGCATATTTACTTCAAAATATAAAAAGAACACTTCCCCCAGCAGCTTGGGGTATAATTCCCCCAATGCCACCTCGGTCTCTAGAGGGGAAAAAAGGGAGATTTAAACTTGAAACTTAGCCAAAGCGTGGTCCGAATCCCACATCAAACACTTAGGATAAATCTCTCATTTTTTCAGAAGAAACTAAAGCCCATCTGGGTTAAGGTCATATCAAAATAATAATGATAATAATAATGATAATAACAATAATAATAATAGCAAGTGTTTATATGGTGCTTTACAGTTTACAAAATGCTTTACAAATATTATAGGATTTGATCCTGGGAGGTAAGTGCTATTATTATCCCCATTTTCCAGATGAGGAAACTGAAGCAAGCAAAAGTGAAGTGACTTGCCCAGGGTCAGATAACTAATCAACGTCTGAGGCCAGATTTGAACTCAGGTCTTCCTGTCTCCAGGTCCAACGCTCTATCCATTGTGCTTTCTAGCTACAAGCAGTAAATGGAAAAGTTAAATGTGGATGCTAGTCCTCTGATTCCAATCCAATGTTCTTTCCACTGTACCTCATTTAATTACTTTATGATTCTGAATGCGCCACTGAAACTCCATAAGCCTCCATTTCCTCATCTGAAAGCCTCACGGCATCAGTGTAAGGAACAAATGACATGTGGCAGTTGACTTTCTCAGGGCCAGGCCTGTTTCATGGCCCCTCGGGGTATGTTCTAGGTTTTGTGGGTGTTTCTTCTCTACTGCTGTTGGCTTCAACCCTTACTGGCTGTTTCCTCTATTTTAGGTGGGGAGGGCAGTGAATAGGACCCCCCGTTCCATTTAACCATTGGACATTGGATTAGCTTTTACAAAGGGGTGGTGCAGTACAGAGAGTTCTAGGCCTGGAGTCAGGAAGACTCTTCTTCGTGAGTTCAAATCTGGCCTCAGACACTTCCTAGCCAGGCAAATAACTGGGCAAGCAACCCTGGGCAAGTCACTGAACCCTGTTTGTTTCAGTTTCCTCGTCTGTAAATGGAGCTGGAGAAGGAAATGACAAACCACTCCAGTATCTTTGCCAAGAAAGCCCCAGATGGGGCCATGAAGAGTCAGACACGACTGAAACGGCTTAACAACAGCAATGATAATTTTAAAATTTTTATCTTTATTTTATTATTTATTATTTTTATTTATCTATATATTTTTTATTTATTATTTTTATTTTATCCCTAAATATTTATTTATAGCATGAGAAAATATACACACATTTCCCCCAATACCTCAGGGTCATAATTCTCCCCCACACACATACCACCTCAGTCTCTTGGGGGAAAGGAGGGAGATTTAGATTCAAAACTCAGCTTATTTCCTACATGGCACTGGTTCAACAAAATCCATGTCCAGATTCAGGCACCACTGCCAGGTGAATCCTTCCACTGGGCTGGAATGCCAAAAGTTGCTCCTGATCACCTCTTGTTCCACAGGGCATGAGTGCTTTGCTAGATGAGAAGCCCAGAACTCAAGCCTCCTGTGTTGTTCTCCTGACCTTCTGAAATGCCCAAGGTCAGAGCCTACCCTCCTTTCCCCAGACAACATGAGCAAAGGAATCCCTGAGATCCCACAGAAACAAACAAGGCAAAGAAACAGTTTAAGTGCACCAACAGGTGTTTAGCCACTTGGAACCAGCTACAGAATGCCCAGCCTGCTCCAGGCTCTCTAAGGCATTTCTCTTATATGCCATAAAGATTCACGGAAAAACAGTCTCCCAAAATAGCTTCCCCAGGGAGATAGGATCTGAGATCCTCTTTGCATGTGCCAGGATCCCATTACAAGAATCAAGTATTAGAGGCAGCTAGGTGGTGCAGTGAATAGAGCTCTGGCCCTGGAGTCAGGAGGACCTGAGTTCAAATTTGGCCTCAGATACTTACTAGTTATGTGACCCTGGGCAAGTCACTTATCCCCAAGTGCCTAAGGGGGAAGTGGGGGGAGAGAGTAGAACAAGGATCAAATATTTAAGTGTGCTTTGCAAGACATAACTATAACTATCGTTATTATTTCCAATAAAAATAAATAATTCTTCCTGGGGCAAAAATTAAATTCCTTATTCAACTTGTGAGAAACAACATGGTATAGTGGATAGGGAACTGTCCTCAAAGGTAAGAAAACCTGGGTTCAAGTTCAGCCTCTGACACATATTGGCTCTAGGACTCTGGGCAAGTCACTTAACTATAGGCAACTCTCTAAGACTAGACACTGTAGAGAAGTTACCGACCCTCACTGGCAGAAGTTTCCTTACCCAATGAAATCACAGGCCCAGTCCCTACACCTATATAGTGTGTGTATCCTCCTATGGTTGTTGTTGTTCATCCTTCATTCTCAAAGAGGACCAATGACATCATAAGGGTGATGTCTTTCATGGTCTCTGAATGGCAAAAAAACAAAACAAAACAAAACAAAAAACCCTCTCATCTGTAACTTCAAGCAATGAGTATATAGATACCCTGCAGGCCCTCACTGCCATACTTTTCTTGTTCTGTGTTTATGCTCCTCTGGCTCTTTCTTGGCTGACTCCAATCCTTTCCTCTGATTGCAGGTAGGGCCTCAGAGCACCATTACCAAGACCCAGTGCCTCTGCAGCCACCTGACCTCCTTTCATGTCTCCTTTATAATCCTCCCAGGACGGTGAATGTCCAGGACACAGTCAAGCTCTTTCATGGGGTGTCCCGCAATCCCGTTGGGGTCTCCCTGCTGGCCAGCCTTTTGGGATTTTATATCATTTTTGTTGTATGGGCCTGGAGAAAAGATAAAGATGACAGGAAGAAGGTGAGGTGTACAGTAAGCTTTGGCAAAATGTTTCTCCCCACCAACCCCTACATGGAGTATCAAAGACCAGAGTTCAAATCCTGCCTCATTCATGCACTAGCTGCATGACCACTTCCAAGTCACTTAACCTGTCAGCCTCGGTGTCCTCATCTGTGAAATGAGAGCAATAATAGCGCTATCTCCGAGGGTTGTTGTGAGGTTCGAATGAGATGGTATTTGTAAAGCGCTTTGCAGGCCTTAAAAAACACTTTGTAAGTGCTAGCTGTTATTATTGTTATTATCCTTGAAAGAATGCCTTTGTCAGGTCATGTAGTGTCAGATCTGGAAAGAACTTTACAGATCATCTAGTTTCTTCCCCTCCTTTTACAAATATGGAAACTGAGGCTTAGAGAGTTGAAGTGCCTGCCCAAGGTTACAAGCATAGGATCAGAACCAAGACGTGAACCCAGGTCTCTCTTTTCCAAGTCCAAGACTCTTGCCATTGTCCGGCATGGAAATTGAAGAAGAGGAGGAAATATTCCTTGGCCTCTTCCTATGGCTATTCCTATGGCTTCCTATGGCCTCTGTTGCCCAAGTGACTTAGGATACAGCTCTTGTTCCACGCCCTTTTGGAACCCTAGAAAAGAACTTCTAGAAATTGTGGCAGAAATTAAATCCCCTTGTGCCTAACTTTACTCCCTTACTTTATTCCAGAGATCTTAATCTGGGATCCACAAACCCAAAGGGTCCAGGGATAGATTTCAGGAGGTGTAAATTTAGACGGAAAAAAAAAGCACCTTTCTTTTTACTATCCTCTAACTGAAATTTGGTGTTTACTTCAATTAAAAAGAAATTATGCTGAGAAAATGTCCATGGGCTTCTCCAGACACTCAAAGGAATTCACAACACACACAAAAAACAGTTAAAACCTATTTTACACAGTATATCTACCTGAATTTAGAGACAGAAGACTGGAATGAAAATTCTGACTCATCACTTATTAGCTGTGTGACCTTGGGCAAATCACTTAACTTTTAAACCCTCAAGTTTTTACTTCAAAGCGTTGTTGCAAGAAAAGCAGTTTGTAAATCTTAAGGTACAAATCGATTTATTCCTATTTATTATTTATTTTATTTTTTATGCATTACTATTCTCATTCATGCAAAGTTAGATGTAAAGCACTAGTTGCTTTAAAAAAATAAGAATCCTTTTCTAATATAAACAATTACCACCTAAATTTATGGTTTATCATTTTTATCTGTTCTTTTTTCTTTAAAAAAAATTCTAAACTTAACAAATGCCACAGAAGATGGGCATTTTCTTTCTATCTGGTTTTCTTACAATGGGAAACTGTCCCTAATGTAGTTCTCATTCCCTAATTAATATAGAAAGTGACTCGTTCATTCCTTGCAACCCTGATGGAGACTCAAATGATGCCATGGGTCTAATTGTATAGACAAACATGTACCTTTAGCCTTCATTACTGCAATAGTGACTTAAATATACTATATATATATATAGATAGATAGATATATACATATATATTTGTATATGTAAACATACAGTATATGTATGCAATACACATACATGTATATGTATACACACACATATATAATATATACATATACATGTACACACACATATGTATATATGCAGTGTGTCCCAAAAGTCTTTGTGCAGATTTAAACCAATAAACTTTTGGGATACTCTGTATAGGAGTGTGCATGTGTGGGCATGAGTGTGTATGGTATGTGTATGTGTGTGTGTGAGATCAGCTACAGATATAGCCAGTCTTCCTTATTTCCCAGGACATCTGTCCTACATAACACCATACTTCTGCCCTGAATTTTTATATGGATAATTCTGGGGCAGTGAGTTTTGCCTGTTTCTGTTTTGGGAAGAAGCACGGGTTGTTCTTTTAAGGGAATACTACGATATTTTTCTGGTTTTGGTCGCCCTACAGATGAAAGTCACCATCCTGGCAGATAACGCCCCCAGCTCTCAGGCTCACTACCTCGTTCAGGTCTTTACCGGGTATCGCAGAAGGGCAGCTACAACAGGCAAGGTGAGACAAAGCTCTTCATTCTGACGTGAACTTGCCCACCTTCACCTCCTCACACATCACACCTGCATAATGCAATGGCCTGCTTACTGCTCCATTCACCACAAATCACTCCTCCCTCCAGTCCGTCCTCCATTCAACCACCAAAGTGATTTTCCTAAAAAGCTGCTCTGCCCGTGTCACATACACAACACCTTCCCCCCCTCACTCAGGAAACTCCAGTGGCTCCCTAGCACCTTCAGAATCCTTTGTTTGGCATTCAAAACCCTTTGTAACCTGGCCCAGATGCCTTTCCAGTCCTCTAACACTTTATATCCCTCCCCTTCACCCAGTGACATTGGCCTCCTTACTATTCCTCAAACAAGATGCTACATCTACTAATTCTGGGCATTTTCTCTGGTTGTACTCCATGCCTGGCATGCTGTCCTTCCTCATCTCCAACTTCTCGTTTTCCTCACTTTCTTAAAGTCCCAGCTAAAATCCCACCTTTACAGGAAGTCTTTCTTTCCCAGTCCCTCTAATTCCAGTACCTTCCTTCTGTTAATTATTTCCTAGACCTAAGAATCCAAAGGACTGACACTTCATTTGAAACCTCATCCAAATCAAATGAACCTACCTAGCTCCACCATTGTGAGGTTCCATTTCATTTCTTAGTCCCGATCTCCAAATGTCAGGCGTCAGAAACTCTTGCGCTAATCTTTCTTTGTCCAATTGAAGGTCATTCTCATCCTTTATGGGTCAGAGGGGAGGAGTGATCCTCACCACCTGAGTGTCCCCCCCAAAGTCGTCTTTGAACAGGGGGCACAAGACGTCTTCCTTGTCACCACCAGAGCCCCACTGGGGCAGTTGCATAGCATCCAACTCTGGCATGACAATTCTGGTACCAGTCCATCCTGGTAAGCATTTACTTTTTATTCAAGCTTCTATTCTTCCCTGTATGTCGCCAGGGAGAGACCAGCACAGTTTTACAATAAAAAAAAAAAAATGATGATACTCTTGAGCTAAGAACTGGTAAAAATGAGCATCCATTTGAGGGGAGTCACTATCAATCAAGATAAATTTATTAAGATCTACTACAGGTTTTCTGACTGTTTTGCAGAGAGGACCTGCTTTTAGAGCTCCTAAAACCTAAAACTGCCTTGAACCTCTCCTCCTAGCACATAGCAAACGCTTAATAAATGCCTGTGCAGGTGAGGAGACACGGCCACAAAGACACTAGACCACGTAGACAATGAGACGTACATAACCCAGGCCTTTTCCATTTCACAGTTGGAGTTGTTGCTAGCAGTTTTTATACATGAAACAAGCAACACAAATATACCCTCAGTTCAGTTGAGGGTGGGGCAGAGACCCTATGTTGACATGAGGCTCTTTTGGGGAAGTTTGGGCAGAGAGGAGAAGAGAGGAGAGAAGTGAGAAAAAGAAGCCTCACCCTGAGTGAGGGTCCATCTAATCAAGATGGGGCAGAGGAGAAGCATGACAGCCCCTTGGTAGTCTATTTTAACTAATTATGATTGCTAAGGCCAGTGTTTCTATGCCATCCAAATTCATCACTCTGGGACAAAACCCCAATCACCCAGCCCTAGGTATGGCCCTCATGTCAATGCTTCCACAAACCTTTTCCCAGTAGATATTTCCACTAGACTGATATTCTCTTCTTAGACAGTAGAGGACTCCTCTGGGGATGGGAAAAGGCCAGGGCCTGGGCGGAGATAAGAATGGCCGTCATTTTTCTTTGGATCAAAAGACAGAGCTAGAAGGACTCGGTCATTTAGTCCAACCCTCCTATTTTGTAGATGAAGAATGAGGCTCAGAGAGTTTGAATAACATTCCCCAGTTACACGGATAGTAAGCGCCCAAGCTGGGAGTCAAACCCAGGACCTCCGCTCCAAATTCGGGGCTGCTTTCCAATGTACTTTTTCAGTAACAGTATCATCACGATGAGATCATCACTGGACGGGTCAAGACCACCTCCTTTGCATTCGGCAAACAGTCGACACTAACTCTAATGATCCGATGCTCTGTTTCTCTACAGGTATGTAAACCAAGTAATTGTCAGTGATTTGGCCACAAAGAATAAGTGGCATTTCCTGTGTAATTGCTGGCTGACTATTGACCTGGGAGACTGCCAACAGGACCAGGTTTTCACATCAGTCTCAAAGAAAGAACTCTTTTCCTTCAGGTATTACTGGTAAATAACAACCCATACTGAATGCTGTCCTGTGTCTCCATCAGGCCTCCCTCCAGCCTTGTGGCTGCTACTAGAATTTCTCCAGATTTCTCCTGGCTGTAATGGACATATCCTTTTGGTTCTCCTGGGATCTCTACAGATGCCCTAGATATATTTTTATAATGGACTTATATAGAACACAAATGCAGTGTCATCTTAAACTCAACATGTCCAAAACTGAATTCATGATCTTTCCTCCCAGACCCTCCCCTTCCAACTTCCCTATTACTGTAAAAGGTGCCACCATCCTCCCATCCCTTGGGCTCATAACTTAGGAGTCATCCTGGACTCCTCACTCTCTCTCACCCCCCATATTCTAAGGTGTTGCCAAGGCCTGTTGATTTCACCTTTGCGACATCTCTCCGAAGAGACCCCATCTCTACTCTGACACTACCACCATAATGGTACCATAGGAGCTCATCCAGTCAAGCTTTGACTAAAGCAATAAATAGCCTGCTGGTCTGTCTTCCTGCCATGAATCTTTCTCTGCTCCACCTTCCTCCACTTAGCTGTCAAGTAGCTCCCTATGGCCTCCAGGATCAAATAGAAAATCTTGTTTGGGTTTTAAAGGCCTTTATATGCTGCCCCTCCCACCTTCCAGTGTTCTTACACTTGACAATTCCACATATTCAGGGATCCAGTGACAACCAGCCTCTGCTGTTCCTTGAACAAGATACTCCATCTCCTGACTGGGCATTTTCCCTGGCTGTCCCCCATGCCTGGAATGCTCTTCCTCGTTCTGACTCCTGGCTTCCTTGGCTTTCTTCAAGTTCCAGCCAAAATCCCGCCTTCTATAGGAAGGTTTTCCCAATCTGCCATAATTCTACTGCCTTCCCTCTGTTGATATCACCAATTTATCCTCTCTATAGCTTGTTTCTACATAGCTGTTTGCATGTTGTCTCCCCCATTAGACTATGGGCTTCTGGAAGGCAGGGACCGTCTTTTGCCTTTCTTTGTATCCTCAGGACTTAGCACAGTGCCCGACTCGTAGTAGCTGCTTACTAAATGTTGACTGACTGACTGACTGATGTGTTGAAAGCCTAAAGGAAGTAAACCTGGGTCTGAAGTGAAGACAGTCTGGAAGCATGTGAGGAATGTAGAGTTCTTGCCTCTATTTTCTAGTCCCTTTTTTTTTTGGTAGGATTTTCATGATAATTTGTATTTGTGAGGGAATGTTGAGTAAGTACACCATGAATAAATAGTCCCTCCTCTTTTCTTAGGTTGTCCAGAAGAGAGAGAACCAAGAAGTGGGGATAGGAAATGAAGAATGTGGGTCAGATTAATTCATACTTTTGAATCCAAGTAATTTTTGAGCATTGATTGAAAGGATGAAATAATCGAGCTCATTTTTATTTTAACTTTTGTTAAGTGCTTCCCTTTTCCCTCCCCCACATCTTCTAAGCACCGTATAAAATATGGTGCTAGCTGGTGCAGTGGATAGAGCGCTTGGCCTAGAGTCAGAAAGACCTGAGTTCAAATCTAGCCTCAGGTACTTAATAGCTTAATAACCTCTGTCTGCCTCAGTTTCCTCATTTATAAAATGGAGATAGCAACACAACTTGCTTCTCAGAGTTGAGAATAAAATGAAATAGCATTTACAAAATGCTTTGCAAACCTTAAAATGCTCAATTGAAATGCAATTATCATTATTATTATTATTATTATTGCTGTATGAAATAGATTTTTTATAGCACTTTAAGGTTCAGAGGGTGCAGTTCATAGAGTTCTTAAGGATGGCATTATCCCTATTGAGAACTGAGGCTCATAGAGGTTAGATGACTTGTCCTTGGTCCCAGAGGCAGACAGGGTTGCAGATAAGATGCAAACCCAGGTCTCTCCTGCCTCCAAGCCCAGCAGTCTTCCCACTCTGTGCCCAAGAATCTCCTATTCCTAAAAACGAATGAAGGGATCGAGCCTAACAGTGTCTCGTCTCCTGTGTCCTCTTTTCAGAAACTTATATTCCTCCACGATTGTAGAAAAGTTCACCCAGGAGCACCTGTGGCTGTCGATGGTGACCTGCAGCCTCTGGAGCAGATTCACGAGGGTCCAGAGACTGTCTTGCTGCATGACCCTTCTTATTTGTAACATGGCTATCAACATCATGTTCTGGAAGCTAAACAGCACAGAGGAGGGCGACAGGACCACGAAGGATGGAGGTAAATCCAGCCAGGACCCCGTCTCCCTCCCAGAACCTGGAAGGGAATGGTGGCCTCCTTCCCTTCCCAGCTGACTAGCCTGATAGTAAAACATTCTAGGAGGGCTTCTCTGCTCTTGCCTCCTTTCATTTATTAATCAATAAACTAATAATAATAGTGAGCGTTTGTTAAAAACTTTCCATACCCTGTGAGGTAGGGGCTTCTATTACCATCCCATCCATTTCAATAGATGAGTCAACTGAGCCTGGAAGAGATGATGTAGTTTGCACAGAGTCACAGAGAGAGTAAGCAACTGTGGTAGGATTTGAATCCGTGACTTTGACTCTGAGCCCAGCACTATCCGCTGCCCCACCCAGTTACTAGCTGAATGCGCCAAGTTCTCTGGGCTCTTCAGTTTTCTATCTCCAGCCAAACATACAACAAGGAAAGCTGCTATGTGAAAAACTTTTTAAATTTCATTTTATTTCTATGTTGACTTAACAAACACCAAATAAAATGAGCATTCCGATATATCGTACAACAGGGGAGGATTGTACATAAAACTACAAACTTTCCAGGCATTATGCTCTTCTTTTTAAGTGTACAGTAAATTCAACATGTCACATTCAAAGCTGCCCTAGGGGCAGCTAGGTGGCGCAGGGGCAGCAGTGGATAGAGCACCAGCCCTGGAGTCAGGAGGACCCGACTTCAAATCCGGCCTCAGACACATAACACCTACCAACTGTGTGATCCTGGGCAAGTCACTTAACCCCATTGCCTAGCGAAAAAACAAACAAACAAACAAACAAACAAAAACAAAGCTGTCCTGTCTGTTTGGAATTCCTTCTGGTCTCTTCTCTTCTTTGGAGGGGAGAGGAAAATCTATCTCTAATTCTCCTTTCCCTAACAATAATAACAATAACTAGTATTTATATTAAAGCACTTTACAAATGTTAATTTGTGTGATCCTCACAAAAACTCTATGAGGCAAGTACTATTGTTGTTCCTATTTTCCAGATGAGAAAACTTAGGTTGAGAGGGTGACTTGCTCTGAGTCAGTTAGTAGGGGTATGAAACAGGATTTGAACCCAGGTCTTCCAGACTCGGAGGTCAGCACTTTGTCTCAGCGCCACCTAGCTCCCTTCCCTCTTACCTCTCTTCTCCTCCCCCTCCTCCCCAAGGAAATGAAAAGCAAACCCCTTGTAATAAATATGCCTGCTATAAAAGTAGTTATGTATGATCGAGAAGGTATGAATGTTTTTGCGGTGGTGATAGTGTGCATAGTGAACCTGGGTACTATCCGTATTCCTTCAGTAAGACCTTCTTCTGTGACCTGGTCTGAATTGCTCATCAGCATCCAAACTGCTTCCATCCTCTTCCCAATTAATCTTATCATTGGGAGAATCTTCCCACTGATTCAGCCGCAGGAGAAGATTCCACCTCATTTCATTCCCATTCAGGCATCTTCCACCTCAGACACATCTTTTGGGTCTGTAACTACTCAAAAAATAATTGAGGTAAGTTCTGAGTCACGTTACTGATCTCCTTTTCAATAATAATAATAGCTATCTAAGGTGAGGCTATCAGGGCTTTGTCCTTAGAGTACTGAAATTTAGAAGATGAAAAAAATTTGAAATGTTTGCAAAATACTGTATAATTTCCAAATTTGTTGCGTGTACATTTTAATAGCATTCGCATTCCTCTATAGCACAAAACCAATTGAGGTAAGCATTTAGTTAGCAAGAATAACTATTTAAAATAGGACACCACCAAAAGATAAACTTCCCCACACGTCCCATGCCCCTCTCCTCTGTTTGTACCATACATAAGCTCCTTCTTCCCTGGCCCAGCCCAACTCTGCTACATCCCTTTCCCCTTTCCTGTAGAGGCTTATCTAGCAGCATTTTCTTGATGTCCCAGGCCCTTTCCCATGGGGCTGGTATACTTGGGTCTCCCTTCTCACACAACTGAAGTTGTCTTAATTTGTATTATTTTCCCATCATGAATTAAAAGATGATTTGAGGGAATGTTTTATGCTGCTTGCCCTGGGTGCCAAAATTGATTGCTACAGCTCTGTAGAAGATACTTTTGTATGGGAAAAAGAAAATTTTTGAACTTTTTTTTTAAGTCACTAAGTTGTGCCTAATCAGACTTTCCACTTTATTCTGTTATTTATGAATTGACCTATTGTGGGCAATCAATAACCTGTGATTTCTTGGGGGACTTGATGTTTCATAAGGACATCATTTCTCTCAGCAGATGGTCCGAGTATCTAGAAATGATGTTGGGTTGTGTTTTCGTGTTTTTTCTTTAAAGTTTTCTAGTAATCTTATCATTCCACTCCTCTTGTGCATCTAGTGGCTCCTATTACATGCAGGATCAAATAGAACGCTCTATGTTTAGCATCTAGTCGGCACTCTCCTGCATTTCTGGTCTTATACTTTACTTCCCTTTGAATACACTGTGATCCAGCAACACTGGCCAATTTGACATTCCTCAAACATGACATTCCATCTCCTGTTACCATCCCTAGGTACTGGCCGTCCTCCATGCTTGTAATGCTCTCCCTTGGCGCCACTGTCTCTTAACTTCCCTGGCTCCCTTCAAGGAAACAAGGCAAGGTGGAGCCAACAAGCATTTATTAACTCTTCACTATAGGCTGGGCACTGCGCTAAGCACTGAGGATACAATTACAAGCAGAGAAAGAACGCCAATCCCTGTCTCAAGGAACGTCCATTCTGATGGGGGAGGAACACACAAAATGCAGCTGAAAAGGAGGGGGCAGGAAGGCACCTGCACTCTGGTCTTGGACGTGGTGTCCGACCCCAGAAAATCAGACGCAGATCAAGGAGGGAAATGAAGGTTGACTGCCCTGGGCCATTCCCCAAAATGGAGGTCTCGGGAGAAACTCATCAGTGGTAAAAATAGGGCTGGCATGGCAGAGGGATGGCCCAGCTGTAATCCCACCTCCCGCAGGAGTGCCAGCATCTTCCTCTCTGACATCACCTTCCTTCCATTCTGCAGCCAGTTGTTTACACATCATCTGTCCCCATAAAATGTGAGTTCCTTGGGGACAGAGGCTGGTTTGGCCTTTCTTTGTATGCCCAGCACTCAGCCCGGCACCACCACAGAGAAAGTGCTAATAAGTGCTTGTTGACTGACTGACTTGTTCCAATTTCTCCCTTGCTGCTGCTTTTAAAGACATTCACAAATCACAAAATGGGGTGACAGCTTTCTGAGGAAGTAGGGTATTTACTTATCTGTGTAGATGTTATTCCCACCCCCAACAGAATATAAACTTTTTGAAGGCAAGCTCTTTTCGTGTGTGTGTGTGTGTGTGTGTGTGTGTGAGAGAGAGAGAGAGAGATTTGGATGTTTTTTTTCTTTTCTGTCTCCAACATTAGCCTAACACCTGGCATACAGTAGGTGCTTAACAAATGCATGCTGAATAAACAGACAGATGAATAGAAGTAGCAGTGTCACAGAGCCCTGGGCACCTGAGTTCACATCCTGCCTCCGACATTTACTGGCTATGTGCCCTTGGACAAGTCCTGTAACCTCAGTTTGCTGGTGTGTAATGGAGACTGTCTCTGAGGTCCTTTCCAACTCTGTAATGATGAAGTAGCTTTCCCCCTCAACAAAAGATACAGCCCTACTCTTCAGTGCTTCTTCTGATCCTTAAAATATGATCATTCTTAATTTACGTAAAAAATACACATACCACTAACTTTGTTTCATCTTGGTTCCACATTCAGGAGTTGAAGGAAATGGTGGGATTCTTGCACTTGAAAAATGCATGCTTGCCGGCCCAGTGGGAAGGCCTCAACAGGAGTTCTGACAGCATTACAGAACTCGTCAAGGTGCTGTCCAGCCTTATTCATTCTCATCTAGAAAGGCAAGGAAGTCAACAGCAGCAGATAGGGTCACATCTCGAAAATGGTAAAGTGCCTTTAATGCTTTTCAGTAAATGTCTGGTGGCACAGTGGATAGAGTGCTGGCCCTAGAGTCAGGAGGACCTGAGTTCAAATCCAGCCTCAGACATTTACTAGTTGTATGACCTTGAGCAAGTCACTTCACCCTGTTTCCCTCAGTTTCCTCATCTGTAAAATAAGCTGGAGAAGGAAATGGCAAACCTCTCCAGGATCTCTGCCAAGAAAACCCCAAAGGGGTTATAGAGAGTTGAACACAACTGAACCAACTCAATAACAACAAAGTACTTATTTGTTGATGGGGGGGTGGGGTGGTAATGGGGACAAGGTAGTTGCTTGAATCATTTTAATCTCCTTACAGCTGAATGATTTGTAGAGAAGGATCAAGCACAGTCATATGTAGATGTCAGTATAACTCACCAAAGGTAGACGGGAAACAACTTAATTGAAGCCATCCATCTTTGTTAATAGTCAATCAGCCTTGATTGAGAACTATGCCTAGAGAAGCATCTTTACATCCACCTGGAATGTACTTTCAGAGGTTCCAGAAAATATCCGCAATTTAAACCATTACCTGCTCAGAGTCATGGAGAGGCTGCAATTCCAGTACAGAACGCTTTTGGCAAGCCCATCCAGAAAGCCCCACAACTTCCTGTGCTCAGCCAGCCAGCTCCAAAGCCTCAGGGAGCTCATGGAGACCCAGATTCTTTCCATGACACAGGGCCCATGCAGGTAAGAGGATCCTTCCTGCCTCTCTTTCCTCCCCTCCTCCTACTGCATCATTAAATGCAAGATTCTTGCCCTCAATCTCTTCTCTTTAGTGATACCACGAGTTTCCCTATGCTGGACTCAGAGGAAGAGAAGCCTGCCATCTCAAACTACCTGCCAAAATGGTCCATTTCTATCTGTTGGCTCCTTCTGGGTGCTACAAGCCTCATCTCTGCCTTTTTCACAGCTCTTTATAGCCTAAAGCTGAACAAAGATCAAGCGACCAGCTGGGTCATTTCAATGATACTGTCAGTCCTCCAAAATACCTTCATAATCCAGCCAGTGAAAGTAAGTGGGACTTTAATAAAAATGAGAATACAACTGAAATAAATTTCGAGTTTCAGTGCTATTTCAAACTACCAAGGAGACATTTTATAAAACTAGACAAAAATAATAGCAAAAAGGCATTTGGCAGAATAGAGGACTAGAACAGGAAGGGTTTCTTCACCTCAGTTTTCTTTGTAATCTTGAGTGTTTAATTTTATGAATTTCAAAACATTACTCTGAAAAGGGATCCATAGGTTTTACCTGATGGCTGTAGAGGTCCATAAAACAAGAATGGTTAAAAACTCCTGCTCTGGTATAATGGACAGAGAGCTGACCTTAGAGTTAGGATGACCCAGGTTCAAGGGAAATAATGAAAAACTGCAGAAAAATGAAGGGAGCAGAGCATTAATAAACCTAAAACTATATAATAACCACAATTTAACCACTATTTGGTAGTGGTTAGAAACAGAATAAGTGAGCAGTGGAATGGACTAGCTAAGCAAAAAACAAAAGCAATTTAACAAAATGTAGTTCAGTGGCTGATAAATCCAAGAATACAAATTATAAGGGAAAGAGCTCCTATGTTACAAGAACCACTGGGAAAACTGGAAACTAGTTTGACAGAAATTAGGTTTAGACCAGCATCTTACACCATAATAATACTCCAAACAGACGTTTGATATGAACACTAAAAGTTACATTGAAAAAAAAAAAAAGAAGGAAGGACCTGTCACAATTACAGATGGGGGTGAATTGTTAACCAAACAAGGAATAGAGGTGAGAATTAAAAAGAATTGAATTAGGAAATTTTTACTCTAACAAAATCAGTGCATATAGAAAAAGATCTTTTTATCACTATCACTGATAAGTCTGATATCCAAGATATACAGGAGATTGACACAAATCTATAAGCCTAAGACCCATTCTCTAATAGGTAAGTTGTCAAAGGATATGAATAGTTTCCACAAGAAGAGAATCGCAAATTATCAATTCAATATGAAAACATGCTCCAAATCACTAATAAGAGAAATATAAATTAAGACAACACTGAGGTTTCACCTCACATCTTACAAAGATCCTTTTAAAGGACTGTTTTTAAAAATACCTATAGTGTAAAGGAAAGAGAGCTGATCTCAAAGTCAAGTCAACAAATATTTATTAAACATCTACATGACTGGCACTGTGTTAAGCACTGAGTATAAAAAGAAAGGATGAAAAAAAAATCCCTGCCCTCAAGGAGCTCACAGTTTAATGAGGGAAACAATGTGCAAACAATCTGGGATCTAGTCTTGACTCTGATATATACTGGCTTCGTGACCCTGGACAGGTCACTTGGACTCTTACAGCTTTAGACAACGAGATTATAAGTTGCAGGGAAGGTATCTACTTGCATTGGTAGAAGTTTCCTCACCAGGATTTCTCTATACCAGTGAAACCACAGGTAGATGACAAAACTGCTAAGTATCACAAATCTACAGCCCCATACCTCCAACGGTGCCTGGTTATTTCCTATAGTAGTACAATTAACACTGGCAATTGAAGAGGGAAAAAAAAGCTGCCAAAAATGCAGATATGCTGGACCAATTAAACTTTGGGTTTCTCTTCTTGCCAAATGATTTTTCCCTCCATCTTCAGTATCTGGGTTCCAGTTCTAATTCTTTCTCTAGCTGTGTAAGCTTGGAAACATCCTCTAACCCTGTCATGGGCCTCAGTTTCCCTTCCTATTTACTGAGAGAATGGAACCAGATGATCTCTAAGTTACTTTCTAAGTAGGAGTGAAGACTTCCTACCATGTTCTATTCTATGCTGGGTTTTTTATACTTGACATCTTTTAAAATTCATTAACAAAGTCCCTCCAAAGACAAACTAGGGAATGAGGTCAAACACCTTGAACAAGTCATTACAAGCTGTCCACTTCCCTTCCAATATTGCAAGATCTATTTATCATGCTCTAGGGTTGTTCATAAAGTAGTGTGTAAGATAATATTCACTTTACTCATTGGACACGCCTAAGTACCTGTAATATTAGTAGTATTGGACTTTATATTGGTTATTTTACAAAGACAATGAAATCAGACAGTTCTGAGTTTGACACCAATCAATATAATGGAAATAATGGCATTGAAATCCATTCATCAAACCAATTCTTCTTTTAACCAAAAAAATCCAACCTCCTGCCTGCTCTTGGATCCTGTAATACGTATTCAACAAGAAATCTCTTATTCTCTTGTGCAGGTGACGATACTCACCCTGTTCTCCTCACTGTTGCTGACAAGGATATCATGGCATAACAAAGAGAAGGAACAACAGATGAGGAGGATCCTGGCTCTCCTGGGTAATGCCTTCAAGTCCTACCTCGTGCAGGTGCCTTTTCCCGTTTTCCTTAGCTTCAGGGTCTTCCCTCTGAGACGACCCCCAATTTGTCCTGTTTGTACACAGTCAGTCATATGTTGTCTCCCCGTTAGACCATAAGCCTCTTGAGGGCAGGGTCTGTCTTCTGTCCTTCTTTGTATCCCCAGTACTTAGTACGGTACTTGATATATGTTGTAGTTGTTTAGTCATTTTCAATCATGTCCAACTCCTTGTGACCCCATTTGGGATTTTCTTGGCAAAGACACTGAAGTGATTTGCCATTTCTTTCTCTAGCTCATTTTACAAATGAGAAAACTGAGGCAAATAACGTTAAGTAACTTGCCCAGGGTCACACAGCTGCTAAGTGTCTGAGGCTAGATTTGATCTCCAGAAGAGGAGTCTTCCGGACTCCAGGCCTGGTGTTCTATGCACTATATCTCCACCTAGCTGCTCCGGCTTGTTATTTATTAGGTGCTTAACAAATGCTTGTTGACCGACTTCCAGTTGCACTATGCTAGCATGATCAATTACAATCTAGGAAAGGCACATTGAATTAAGATGGGGAGACCTCTAGGATGCCTTATTGAATCAAACCAATTTTCATGTTGTCATTGTATCCCACTACCTAGCAAGGCACCTCTAACCTAGCAGGATTTATGCATACTGGGTTGGGTTGGAGTCATACATTTAGGGAGCCTGCCTCTCTGATCTAGTCTTCCTCTGTCTGGGCCTACATTGATCAGTCTTTCGCCAAAGCAGTATTTCTTTTGCTACCATCCATTTTTTTTTGTTTTTGTTTTTGACAGCAAAATGTCCCTCCCTGTCACCACCTGGCTTAAGAGATGAGAACAACCCCATCTATAGGGTCCCTCCTGTGAAGAGCCCAGTTAAAGCTCCAGAAAGAACCATGAAAGAGAAACAACTGTTCCAAATGGCGAGAGAAATTTTTGGTACGAAAAAGAACATGAAAGCATGTTGAGCCAGCAGCCTGCTTCCAGAGCAAATACAAGAAGGCATTTGTCCAATGAGAGTTTATTTCTGGGTTTTAGAAGGCAGTGTAGTCAAATGGAAAGACTTAAGAATCAAGAAGGAAGGGACCCAGGTTTTAGTCCCCAGCTTTGCTAATTCCTTGGACAAAAACTTAATTTTCCCTATGTGGATAATAGAAATAATGCTAAGTCCTACTTATCTCACAGAGTTGCTAGGAGGAAAAAGGAATTACTTATAAAAGCACTTGGAAAAGTTTTTTTTTTTTTAAGACACTCAAAAAGGACAAGGTGTTATGTTTATGATTCCCTTCCACTGTTATCAATGCTGCTGAAAACACATTCCAAAAGACAAGTGTTACTCTGCTCTGTGAACACAGACATTATACATACATATATTATACATAGCCTTGTAACAAACTCAACAACGGTGCTGATGTGAGTGAGATGGGATATGTTTTACCTCTTTGTGGTGGGGAGGGGAATATTGCCTAGTGGAAAATAGGAAAATAAATAGTCAAGGTCAAAATCCTAGCAGGGAATTTCAATTTCTTGGAAGAAGTACAGCTTACTAATTTGCTAGGAAACCAAGCACTCTATTTACTATATCATAGCTGCCTCTTAATCACTCATCTGATTTTTTCTATCCAACAGTACAAATCCTCTTCCTTATAATGGTAATGATTTCCACTCATTCAGAAAGGAATTATAACAGGTTTTACTTAAATCAAGCCATCCAGAAGAGAATTAATAACTACTTTGAAGAGATCAAATGTATAAAAGACTTCTACCAATGGACTAATAACACCCTAATTCCTAACCTGTATGGGGAATACAGAGGTAAGAGTCACATGGTGGGGACCATGCACTCCATATGCCCAATATCTAGCATGGTACCTGGCACATGGTAGGTGCTGAATACTGAGTGATTAATTAATATTGTTAATTCTCAAAGGCTTCCCACAGTTTTTTTTTTCTTTTAATTTTTATTGGTAATTTTTGGTTTCGTATCACCTTCATTTCTAACTATCCTTCCTTTCTTCTCTCAGAAAACCATCCCTTATTACAAGGGATAAAAAGAGAGGGGGGCGGGAATGTTTTATCAAAACTCAAATATACACTAAGTTTGTGCAATGTGCCATATCTTCTCCCATTTCTACAAAGTAAGGAGGTACACTGTCTCCACTCTTCCCAGGGGCCAAGCTTGATGATAGTTACACAGATTTCAGTTTCATATCACTGATCTTTACATATACACTGGTGCAGTTGTAGCCATTTTGTATATCGTTTTTCTGGCTGATTACTTCACTTTCTAACAGTTCACATATCTCCTAAGCTTCTCTGTATTATTCAGTCATCATTCCTTATAGAACATTAATGTTCCATTATGTTCATATTCCACAATTTATTTAGCCATTCCCCAGTTAAAGGACACCTACTTTGTTTCCACTTCTTCCTAGAATAAATATGGCTATATTTTGGTGTATAAATAGGACCTTCTCCCCTTGACTTTCTTGAGGTATAGCCTGGTAGGGAATCTCTGGATCAAAGAGCATGGGCATTTTAGTCACTTCCTTAAAACAATTCCAAACTGCTTTCTAGAATGGTTGTACCAATTATAAATCTTGTCTTTTTACAATTCCTCCAACATTTACCATTCCCATCTTTATCACTATGATAGATATAAAGTAAAACTTCAGACCTCTTTTGATTTGCATTTATTATTAGTGATTATTACATTATACTTATATTATTATTATAGTATAATACGATTATACATTATAGTGAATTGGATAAACCATGCATTTAAAAAAATAGTTTGCAATTCTTTTGAGGACAATGTGTTCATATCCCTTTACCACTTAATCCATTGGGAAATGTCTCTTGGTTATAAAAGTTGTGCTATTTCCCTATATATCTTTGTCATCAGTTAACTATCAAAGCTGTTTGATACAAAGATTTTCCCCCCTTCAAAATTTCCCCCCCACCAATTAACAACTTCCCTTCTTAGTCTAATTCCATTGATTTGATTATGTAAAAGCTTTTCAACTTCATGTAATCTCAATAATCTTTTGTTATCACCTCTATTCCTTATTTGATTAAGAATTCTCCCCTTAGCCATAGCTATGAAAGTTACTTAACCTCTCTTCTATTTTAAAAAGGTATAATCTTTAATATTCAGATCAAATATTCATTTTGAGCTTATTGTAGTACATAGTATAAGATATTAGTCTATACCTAATTTCAGTCAAACTGCTTTCCAGTTTTTCCAGCAGTTCTTGGCAAAGGAGGAGTTCTATTACAAGTAATTTATGTATTGGTTTATGGAATAGAACCCACATGAATATTATAATTGAAGTTGTTAAGGGTCAGCTGTTTCAGGTCAGGCTTCCCAGGGTGACTGCATCTTGCTAGAGTCATTAGAGTTTCAAGATTTTGTCCCAGGTTTCCTTGATTCCTTTGGTTAAAACCCTTTATAGCTACAATTTAAGCCCATTTCTTCTGTACTGGGTATCTATTAAGGTGGTAGACTGATCTACAACTTACCAATTGAAACCTTTGATATATTGTAATTCAACAAATGGGGGCAGCTAGGTGGCACAGTGGATAGAGCACTGGACCTGGAGTCGGGAAGACTCATCTCACTGAGTTTAAGTCTGGCTTTAGACACTTACTAGCTGTATGACCCTAAGCAAGTCATTTCCCCCTGCTTGCCTCAGTTTCCTCATCTGTAAAATGAGCTGGAGAAGGAAATGGCAAACCACCCCAGTATCTTTGCCAAGAAAACCCCAAATCGGGGCAGCTAGGTGGCACAGTGGATAGAGCACCGGCCCTGGAGTCAGGAGGACCTAAGTTCAAATCCAGACTCAGACACGTAACACTTACTAGCTGTGTGACCCTGGGCAAGTCACTTAACCCCAATTGCCTCACCACCACCCCCCCCCCCGGGCCAAACCACAGATGGGGTCACGAAGAGTCAGACACAACTGAAAATGACTAAACAACAATTCAACAAATATTTATTAAGCTACACGCAAAGCATTATTACTTGAAGACTGACAAGTTGTCCCTTAACCATCTCTTTTGTAATCTAAATATTCTAAACTAAGTAATCATCAACAAAAAATTCAAATACAGAAACAGAATTTTTAAAATTATCATCTATAGATGCTAGCACTTATAGTTTTTTTAAATGTGTAATTTTTAAACAAACAATAAAAACATCCTCTTTGTATATACAGGGTTGTCACTGTTAATTTGTTACATAACTGCAGGCACTGGTGATATACTGTTCACATTCTTCTTTCTTCACTCTATATCACTTTTTACGTCTTCTCACATTTTTCTTCATATTTGCCATTATGGTACAATATTTGGTCACATTCATATATTCAGACATTTTTCAATCACTGGACACATGAATTGTTCTTAGTTTTATGCTATTACAAATAAAGTCATAATTTTGTATAGATTAATTTCTTTACAAAATTTTAATGAAATCTTTAGGTCTTTATGGAGCAAGTCCCATTACTTTAGGTTTTCCAGTAAACTGTCTAGTGCAAGGGTGAGGAACCTGCAGCCCTGAGGCCACACATGGCTTTCTAGGTCCTTGGGTGTGACCTCTTGACTAAGTCTAAACTTCATAGAACAAATTCCCTCAATAAAAGGATTTGTTCTGCAAAATTTGGACTTAGTCAAAAGGCTACACCCATGGATCTAGAAGGCCACATGTGGCCTAGAGGCCGAAAGGTTCCCAAACCCCGGGTCTAGTGCAATCTTCTCTCACTTAGCTAGATGCTTTAATAACTTTTTTTCCTCCTAGGCTTTATTGCTGAAGGAAATTCCTTCCTTATAGGCAATGTCCGAATTCACCAGATTCGTATTCCTGATACTGTATCCTTTCCAAAAAGAATTCCTCCTAGTGAACAAGTAAAGCTCTATTATCAGAATCAGCAGGAGGATCAAAAGAATTATGGAGTTAATTGGGCTCCCCTTGATCTGAACAGCACAAATCAAGACAGCATTTGGTCTTACCAGAGTGAGGAAGCCTTGGGTGGATACCCTATCCAAGGACAGTTTGCAGTCTACTCAGGAGGAGGCTACATTGTTGACCTTGGGAACAGCTCTGAGGACGCTAACAGGTGAGCAAACCTAAACTCTGAGCAAAAGGCTCTGAGATATGGCTTTCTATCCACTCGAGGTTAGTCACTTGAGAGTCATCACAATATACTATAAATTCAGTTTGACAGACACCACATCTATTTACTGTGCTACTAACATTTCAGGGGCCATTCTTCTTTTTAAAGGAAATTTGCTGTTTAGATACAAAGTTTAAGGTTTTGTCTCAATCTTCAAGTATGTTCTAGTTTGGGCAAAAATCCATTCCATCACTGTGGCGGTAAGATACTTTCTTTCTCACTCACAGACACAACAGTGCTCAAGCATAACTCAAATTTGGCCAGACTGTTAAATGTCACTTGAGCAAGATTTTCTTCATGAGCACTGTTTACCCCAAAACTACATGCCAAAATTATCAGAAACCCAAGAAAACAGTTTGGTGTGCATCTATGGAAGGCTTCAATTCCCCTGTGAAAAAATACTCGATTTGACATCGGAGGAGCTTGTTTGGAGTTCTGGCTCTGACACTTAACTTACTGTGTGGCCTCAGCCAAGTCACTTAAACTCTCATCTGCTTCTTTACCTACAAGAGAGCTGCACTAGATGACCCTCCATGAAACTACTAGTGTCATGACTTAACATTTACATATTTAATTTTCTTTAAAATTACAAGAATAGCTAATGACCCAAATAATGATCCTGAACCTAACTCGTAAAGATTAAACAAATCAGTGCTTCAACTGAAAACTAAGATGTCCGTATCAGCAACTAACCAGCACAGTACACAAAAATTTCTTCTAAATCAGTTACTGAGTAATGTTCAGTTGTATTATGTTGCACACCACCCAGGTGTTTTTCTTTGTTTACCAACTTCACATTCAAATGTGCTGTTTTTATGCCAACACCGACAGAATATTAGCATTTGTAATCAAACACAAATTTCACAAAATACCGTCCACTCAAAAAGCAGAAGACACCAAAAAACTCTAGTCTCATGTTTGGTTGTAAGAAAAAGGATAGAGATATTGGGGCACTTTTTTCCCCTTGGAGTTGGGTAATTTGCCCCTTTTCCCCTCTGCCTCCCCCTCCCCTAGAATTCTTCAGCACCTGAAGCAGAGCCACTGGCTAGACAGATGCACCAGAAGCCTCTTTGTGGCATTTGTTGTCTATAATGCTAATGTGAACCTCTTCTGCGTGGTGACCCTGATCCTGGAGTCCACTGATGTGGGTAAGAGAACCTCTACTCTCCCAGCCTTTCCACAGACCCTGATGGGTGAAGGGGAGACCTGTTTTACCTTTTTTTTTTTTTTGTCATTCTAAATAAAGAGTATTTCTCTTGTTGAAAACATTTTAATCTTAATTTCAAAACCCTATTCGGGGGGCAGCTAGGTGGTGCAGTAGATAGAGCACCGGCCCTGGAGTCAGGAGGACCTGAGTTCAAATCTGGCCTCAGACACATAACATTTACTAGCTGTGTGACCCTGGGCAAGTCACTTAACCCCACTGCCTAGCCAAAAAACCAAACAAACAAAAAAACCTATTTGGGTACAGGGCTTCAAGCTTGTATAAATCCCTGAGACTTCTTGGTAGCAGGCCAACTTAAGTATCATCCCTTTCTTCCTTCTCAAGGGCCCATTTGCTCCCTTCCAGCTTCTGATCAAGGTTTCTTTCTTTTTTGGTGGAAGAAGAGCAGTCTCAAAGCTTCTTGTCAGCCCTCCTATCCTGAAGCAAGCACACCATTCTTTTAACATTTTCTAAAGGTTTTGTTGTTGTTGTTCGGTCATTTCAGTTGTGTTTGACTCTGTGATTCCATTTGGGGTTTTCTTGGAAAGATAGTAAAGTGGTTAGCCATTTCCTTCTCCAGCTCATTTTACAAATGAGGAAACTGAGGCAAACAGGGTGAAATGACTTGGTCAGGGTCACACAGTAGGTGTCTGAGGCCAGACATGAACTCAAGAGAGATGTTTTCCTGACTCTAGGTTCAGTACTTTATGCACTATCGTGCCACCTAGCAGCCCCAAAAGTTTTTATTATTAGTAAAGCAAAAACATATGGGAGAATGGGAGAGATGTTAAAAGTAACATAGATAGTAAATTTATACTCACAAAGTTTTTAAAATCTCATTGTAATGGTTATTTCATATGTTGTAAGGCTGAACCTGAGGTCAGAGAAACTTAGATTTAAATCCCAAATCAGGTATTTACTAAATTGTGACCATGGGCAAATAACATCACCTCTTAGGACTTCAGTTTATTCCTGTTCCTCCCAGTGCCTTCCCCAAAAACTATCATCTTCCATCTTTCTACCCACTCATCTCTCTATAGCTAGTGTCTCCCTCAGCTCAAAAATTCCTTCAAGGCAAAGACCATTATGCTTTTCTCTCCATGTCCTCAACACCTAATATGGTGCCTGGAACATAGTTAAATGCTTAATAGATGCTTGATGATTAGCTCAAAATGGGAATACTACTTCTACTACCCATCTCACAGGGTAGTTTTAAGGAATATATTTTGTCAACCTTCAAGAATCATATATATTATCATTGGAAGTAAATAGCAATTGGCTTGATTTGTCTTAGCTCTGTCATTAAATCTCCTATGTTCTCCTGAGTCAACCATGCCTAAACCCTTCTATCCTCTCTTTGTACTAGGACCTTTAGGCAATCCAAATCTTCACTGAGACAGATGCTCCATCCTAGTCGGTACTCCATTATCCCTATTAGAGATTGTATGGGTAAGGAAAGGGTGAACACTGGGGCTTACGGAAGGTCTATAGATATACAAAGGGGCTCATGGGAGTCACCTACATCTCACAGGCAATTCCAAACTATAGCCACTGTCTTCTAACTTCAAGTAGAAAAATCTGCTTAGATTGTTTCTGACGGAGTCCTGTTCCCAGAAGCTGTATGTTACATTTGTAACACATATCAGTGTTAGGAGGTCCCACTTTTCACTTTCATTAGAAACAAGTAAGAGACGGATTTCATTTGCTATTTAAGAAATACTGCACCCAGTCTTCTTAGGTCGGTCAGTAGTCTTAATAATGGCACCAAACCAACCAATAAGAATTTATTGGCTACTATGAGGCAGGCACTTCGGAATAAAACCAAGATTTTATATAATATCCCTCCTTGATAATGTACTGTAAATTCAAGTTGACTCAAAAAACGCAAGCTCAAAACATCAGAATTTATCTGCATCCTTTTTGAACTTTTAGAATGTTTTGTCTCTCAAGATAACAAGGTCCACATGCTTATTATTCACTATGGAAAGTAGGATTTCCTTTGGTTGATCCTAAAATGCACTTCTTAAGTGTTTGAAGAGGCAGCCCCTGATGCCAATATTATGGGATCTGGTGAACAAGTATATATTCACAAGCCCTTTCATGATTTTATAAACCTGTCTCATCCCCACTCTGGTAGACTGAAGAGTTCTAATATTTTTATTCTGACCTCATAGGGAAATAAGGCTTCAGATGTTTTTTATGGGGATAGTAACATCTTGAATTTTTATACATAACTTTTCTTACAGCACAAAATAAAAGTGAACAACCATACACTCATTTCTCTTCACATACTTTGATTAGAATCGTTTTCTAAGGGGCAGCTAGGTGGCGCAGTGGATAGAGCTCTGGCTTTGGAGTCAGGAGGACCTCAGTTCGAATCCAGTCTCAGACACATGACACTAGCTGTGTGACCCTGGGCAAGTCCGATTGCCTCACCAAAAAAAAAAAAAAAAGAATCATTTTCTTAGGGAGCAAAAAACATATTTCAATTCTTTAAAACACTTCAAACATATACAAGTTTCACTTTTTACACATCAGTCTTTACACGTTTCTATTTACCATCCTATCCTTCCTATTTTCTCTTACACTTCACACTTCAGCACTGCAACATGAGTCAGACAGATTTTTTTCCTGCCTTGTTTTCTTCTGTCACTTATCCAGCTTCCAACTTTCTTTCTAGTGAAAAAGGGTTCTTTGACTCATTGTCCTTAATAGCTGTGATTTCCGTTGTGTAGTGATCAGAGAAAACAACCCACTGCACAGATACTGGGAAGACTTTTTACTTTTTCCTCTTTCTCTATGTTTACACATTCTTCCCTTCTTTTTAAAGTCATTTACTCCTCTACTCTTCGGACCAAGTGTATTTATTTGATGAAAGTAAGTACTGAGCAGGGGTTAGCTCATCAAACTGGGACGGAAGGGGGCAGCAAGGGCCGGCTAGGGGATGGTCTGAATAGCTGGGGAGTCCAGGGGGAAAGCTGGACTCTTCTCCCAAAACTTTCTGTATTCTTTCTAGGAGTTTTCTTCAGTTCTATCAAAGTGAACAGTTTACAGATCATTCAGACGCCCAGAAGTTTCGTCTGGTTCATTGCCTCAAAAGTTATCTATTGTATGCTACTCTTTTATCACATCTTCACACAGGTAAAGTTGGGATTGATCTGCTCTAGAGTACAAGTCCTTCTGAAGATCAGTCATTTAACACTGTTGGCATGAAGTAAGTGCTCCCTACTTTGTGCTGCTAGATACAAGACTTGGGATTCCTCTCTGCAATGAAAGGACTTTGCCAAGACTCTGCTGAGGGTTATTCAATTCTCTGGCTGGTATGCTATTAATAGAAAGTGGTGTTTTCCCTGTGAGGGGAAATGAGACAATAGAGAATGTGTTAGATCATAAATCAACTTAAAACTTTCTGGAAATTCACAATCAGGTATACTTAAAAAAAAATTTCCAAATAATTATTTTTAAATCTAACCAAGTTTTTGGTTCTCCAAAAAGAGGCTGTTCAAATTCAAGTTTCTTACTCATTTAGAATCGGCTTTGAATGGCTGCAGAACAGAGCAAAAATAAAATCATATTACATTTTAATCTTTACTGGAGCAAGATCTTCTAAGACTAAACCTTCCTCATGAGCAGTAGTAACCACCGTACTTATGTTTAGGGGAACCGGCTGAAACAAGAAGGATGGAAATACTTCACCAAGAAAAGCAATGCCCTAGACACCAGCATAATCCTCATAAGCTTTATAATGCTGGCACTCAAGCTGAAGTGTTTTTTCTTGTATAAAAGAAATATGGCACAATACCATCATAATAAAAGCAGGTGAGCAAGCAGTCCTGGTATAGGAGAGCCCCCAAAACACAGTGCCCAGGCTCCCAGGCTTCTGCCCCAAATTATGACAAAGATGAGCAGCCCTTGCAAGAGATAAAGGCCCTCTGTAGGAAAGCAAACTCAGTCAAAACATCTTCCTTCCTCTCTAGCCTCCCATATATTTCTGTGCTCATCACAGCTAAAAACTAAATTTGGGTCAATGTCCACAGCAGACAATTAGAAAATTACAATATTACTTACATTTCTTGCCATGCATTCGTCTGAATTATTCTTTATCACAATGCTTCGTGTGTTTCACTAGGATTTATTAAGCACAATGTGCCAGGCCCTTGGCATACAAAGACAAAAATGAAAACGGTCCGTGGCCTCAGGGAGCTTACTTTATTCACTACTTTCATATAGTCAAGTTTGTACTCAAGGAATAAGGTTTAACAATGGAACTATATCCTGCACAGCAGAATCACAAAACCTAATTAATGAATTAGTTAATGGTTTTCTTGTTCTGAACATCAGACAGTTAAAATTATTTTGATCTGCTGAATTAAATGATTGTGCACATACACCTGCAGTGTGGGCAACATCCAACCTAAGTAAAACACCAACAGGATGGGAAGTGTCTTAATTTGAGCTTGGTTTGGAGTTAGGGAACGTTATATGGCCCCTTTCCTCCTGCAGTAAGTACTCCATTCCCCTAAGGGCCACAGAGGCAGCTGCTTTGGCCACCTCTTTGCATAGAATCTTATAATGAGACATCCCACATTACAGTATGGACATGTAAATGAGCTGTTTTTAAATAAATGGCTGTGAAGAAATATCCAAACACTTAAAGAGTAACATCTACACTAAGATCTGACAGGTGGAGTTCTTGGGTTCAGTATATGGCAAAGGGACAGAATCCTCCTTCCACTTTACTTAAAGGAAAGCCTTGGCTATATTCTCACATACCTTGTTAATCGCTGCTAAACAGCACGCACAATAGCACACTTCTATGTATGTGAAGTCTTTTCTGTTAGCCCAGGTGCTACAATACACAATAATTTGGCAAAATTACTAATCCTCTTGCTAACTTTCTTTGGAGACCAGACCTCACTAGGCAAGTCAAGTAGGTATTTAGGTATCATTCTATGATCACAGATTTGGAACTGGGAGGATACTCAAAGGATATCAAGTCCAACTTTTAAATTTTACATTTTAGTAAACTGGGGTCAACAGGCTCCCTGATCGCATAGATTACACAAAAACAAATACACAGAAGGTAAGGAAGGGGAAAAGTGGGTGAGGGAAGAAAAGTGGAATAAGATTTCTCTAAGCAAAAATATCTTACACCTAAGAAAACTTTTTAGCAAGCACCTCATTCCCCACACAAATCTGTCTTCTGTGTCTCTATCGCTGTCACTGCTGAATCTCCCAATTCCAGGTTTGGCGGTCACTGGCCAGGGAATACGTTAGGACCAGGGCACTAGACAGAGTTCAGGCTCTCATGATGACATCCCATGGGGAAAGGTCTCTCCCACTGAGATGAGATTTTGCTCATGTTCACAAGAGATGGGGCTGGCCTGATCCCTAAATTCAGAGTAGAGACTAGCCTTGGGACTGTATCAAACACATCTCCCCCTCCACATCCAATGACAACCACCCATTCACCCCCAAGGTCAAGTTCCCACTAAGTTTTATTGCATTCAGCCAAAACTTGGCTGAAACCATAGGAAAACTTGGCAATGTAAAGAGTTGCACATCAAGTTACCAACCTTACAGAAGTTTATTGCCAAAGAAATGGAAGTATTAATTCATCAGTGGCGATGACTAACGGCCAGACTTTCTCGACAGATTCATCAGCTTCCACGAAGCTGTCTGAGTGACCTGCGCTCTCACTTACCTCCTTGGCTTCCTGGTCTTGCTGACCACCATCCGGCTCTGCTGTCTGCTGCAGCTCCACCCCAGACTCCAGATCATCAGCGCCACGCTGAAGAGGGCTTGGGATGAAGTGGCTGGCTTCCTACTGATCATTCTCATCCTGCTGACGGGCTACTCCATCACTGTAAGCCACACTCATGTGCTTCCCTCCTGACATGCCGACAAGAGTGGAACCTTGGGCAAACAGCGGCTAAAACCCTTAAGTCAGAGACGTCAGGATGGCACGGCAGGGAAAATACCACAAGACCAGGTCTCAGCCAAAGCTGTCACTAACTAGCAGTATTCTCACTTTATTTTCCTCCACATTAATTTTCTCAAAGTTAATGGATATGAGGGTGCTTTGCAAAGTGTTAAATGCTGTCGAATACAAGGGATTCATGGGGTCACACTGTGGGACTAGAGCTGAAAGGGACCTTGGGAGCCTTCTGGTCCAGCCCCACACTTTTCAGATGAGGAAACTGAGGCCCAAAGAGGGTTAGGACTTGTCCAAAGTCAACAACAACACCGGGGGTAGATTTGAACTCTAGTGACCTAGGCACATTTTTAAATAGCCTTTTACAACAAGCGCCCTGGAAGCCTCCAGGTGACAAAGCAGAGTCCGTCACGAGGTCTAGGGTCAGGAAGACCCAAGGTCAAACGTGGTCTTAGACACTAATTGTTTGACCCCAGGCGAGTCACTTACCCTCAGTCTGTCTCAGTCTTTTAAATGTAAAGCAGGAATGATAGCAGCACCTACTTCCTGGGTTATTCTAAGGCTCTTATGATCATATTTGTAAAGTGCTTAGAACAGTACCTGGCACATAGTGGTCACTACACAGACATAAGCTATCATCATTATTAAGGCTCTCATACTTGTGTGATCCAGGCAAGTTTCCTCAACAGTGAAGTGAAGGGGCTGGAGCAGATGACCTAAGTCTAAGCTGCTATGACCATCTCCCACAGCTGACCCTCCAAGCGCACAGAAGTTGTACTTGACGGCCACTCCTCTCACTGGCATTTTCCCTTACGCAGTTCAACATTCTTTTTGGATGGAGCATCTCTGACTACAGAACCTTTTTCAACTCAGCTGTAACTATTGTTGGTCTTCTGATGGGGATCTTTGATTACCATGAGGTGAGAATCCTTGCTATATAATCTCCTCTAAATCCATTTGGTTTAATACATGCCTCTGACGAGGAGCTCCCAGTGGAGAGACTTCCCTTAAACTTGGTCTGGGAAGTTGAGATCCTCTGCTATAGCTTCTTATAGTGCTCACAATGGCCAGATCCTAAGTGGATGGTTATTCCTCTTAGAAATCTTTACTCTTCCAGGACCCATTTTTACCCCTAACTTTTCATCCTTGTCACAATTACTTATCAAAGCACATTGTTCTCAAACTGAGACACAAACCTAAATCCCATGTTCATTAAGCACCTAGCAAAGGTGACACTAAGGAGTTCTGACTCTTTTCTCAATGTCTCTTTGAAAATGTGCAACTTTTTTAGGAAAAACCTAAAAATTATCAAGAGGCACAAGAGTACCATTAAACACAACTCTAGGAAGAACTGCACTATTTCTTTATTATCACTGGCAAATTCTCACTTCAGGGAAACAGGAATTATCTTCAGGAAAGGTGAAAGGCCAAACACTTGTGTTTCTTATAAACTGTTAAGAAACTAAAGACTAAAGTTCAATTCAAATCAGAGAAACCTCTTTAACTATCAGAGTGTAAACATTCAAGAGATACTGTTAGACGGTGTAAGGATGACATACATCTTTGATCCTGGAAGACGGCATCACCTCCAAATCCAGGGAGATGTCAACCTGCTAGAATGCAGCTCCCTGTGGTAATGTTTCAGATCTCTCAAACTCTGAAACAATTCAATCAGAATAGGGATTTTACCACATTCATACTGTCCTGACACATTTTAGGTTCCTTCAAATTCATTTTTAAATCCTTTAGAACTTTGCAACCTGAAAGGGAAATAAGACTAAAGATCATCTGTAAATCTCCTTAGCTAGAGATACACATAAAATCCTACTACAACTAGCTGTGACTTTGGCTGTCTTGAAATTTTGCTGTAACCAGTGCTTTTCAAAAAACAAGTGAATGATAGTAGCATTCACACTGGGATTTGGTCCACAGTCTAATGGCATTTTTAATCCCCTAGCAACTTTAGAAAAGCAGTAGAGAAGTAGTATTCAGTAGGCCAAAAAGCAAGGGAAAAACAGCACCTCAATGACCAAAGGAAGTGGAATTAAATAAAGAGAAGAACGCTACGCATGTGGCTCTAGTCAGCTTCTGAATCAGAGAAACGGATGATCTCAATCCTGAAAACTGAAGAATGACATAGAACCAAGTATTTTTCTGTGAGAGTGAAACAATTCCAGAAGGAAGTAAAAGAACCATGCTAAGATAAAAGGCTATACAGTCATCCTTTGAAAACCTGTTACATTTTTATTTAAGTTTTAGGTTTCTGGGTGTGTTATGGACAGTTTTATTTCTGGTGTTTAAGTATTCATTAAATGTGATCCTATTATTCCTTAAAAATGAACCTGTATATGCCCTCCCAGAGAGTTTGGACACATTTTTTCTAAGGTCACCTACATAAAAAAAGGGGAGCTATGTAATTTACAGTTTTATTATAATTCATCCATTCCTTTATGTTAAATAAAGCATATAATGGCATTACACCCTTAAAGAAATCAACTATTGCACTCTGACACCTTCCAGTAATAATTCTTCTTCTCCTCTTCTAAATTTACAGACGCTTTTTATGAATGTTTTCTGGAACCAGAAGTAAAATTCCATCAGTATTTACACATATTGCTCAGGGCTTGTTTCTATTGCCTTTCTAGGTTGTCAACTTAGACCCAGTCCTGGGCTCCTTTCTGATCATCACCAGTGTCATTTTGTTAGTGCTTGTGATCATTAACCTTTTCGCTTCCGCAATTATGCTGACCTTCTGCAAGGAGAGAAAGTCCATCATGGTAGGTAATTCCCCAGCTCAGTGAGTTAAGCATCAGCTGTATGAAGACTCAGTATCACTAAAGCAAAGAACAAATGCAGCATACTCAGCACCACCACCCTCCATTACTATTCTACAGAGAGCTCAATGAACCACTTTCCTATTTGCAGAACGACACTAAATTCTATGCTCTTCATACAGTTCCTAGCACATTGCTGGCATTCAACTATTAAATAACAGTAGTAATTATCTTTCTGGTAGCAAATTAAGATAACAGTTCTGCATTGGCACTGTCCCTTTTGCTCTGCCTCTAGCAACTGTTTCAAAATTTGTCTCACTTTGATCCTCCTTTCCTCCATAACTAGGCACAGAAAGAAGCACCACTTACAGAAATTCTGCTGCAAAAGCTCTCCAATTTGTTAGGAATACGGAGGCCTCAAAAGGCAGCACTGCCAGAGCCAACAGACCCAGCAGCAGCAGGCATCAACATGGAAGCTTCAGAGAATGAACCAGCTTGACCTTCTCATTCCCTATCCTTGGCTTTCCTATCAGGGCTGATTAATGTTAAGCGCCCCAGTGGTATTTATTTTCGTATGGCATGGCCTGGGGAATGACAGATGCATGTACCTATTCTTACTTTGAACCTAACTCTGTAAGATTCAATGAAGAATTAAAGTCACCTCAGCAGTATGCTCCATTTGCATGGAGTCGGGCATTCTTCGGGGTCCTGACACGGCTAAGGTGCATGTAAGCAAAGGCCCTGGACAGACCAGTCTCAGAGAACTGCCAGTCCCACAGCCAATGAGGTAGAGAAGGTAAGCAGAAGCACCCAGAACTCTCTCTGCATGGCTAGTTTAGAATCCTACTTGCCCACATTTACAAAGTTGACCGTGGTGGTAAATAAGTCAGGATGAAGCCAAATTCCATGCAACGTCTGCAAGAGAACTGATCTTATCAAACAGATTTTTTTTCTGCAAGACAAAGGCACTAACAAGAGGTTCAGTTTATTATGAACCCAGGAAATAACTCAAAGTCATTATCTGTGATTAAATACAACCCCAACCTATTTAACTTAAACATTTAAAGTAACTAAAAGCTAAAGATCTGCAGAACTGGCATTAGGACTGCCTGGTGTGCTTCCACAGGTCGCTTGTTCAGACAACCTTTTATTTACAGTCACTAAGGCTCTCCATTCCCAATGCCCCTTACTGATACCACTGCTTTCTAGCCAAGTGGTAGCAAAATAGGGCATTGAATCTTTACCTTTATTAGGAGCTACTAATCTCCATGATACAAATCAATCCAAAAATTAAAGAAAAGCTATTTGAAACTGCTGTACAGATACATTACACAGAAAAGAAGACCAATCACATCACTGATACAGAAGGCCTTTCCTCTAGGGAGAGTAGCACTGGCTAAAAGGACCAAGGAGAAGTTAAGAATCAGGATGTCGATCTTCATCCATCTGTCCAGGGAAAGCAGAGAACTACGCTCATCTGGGCACCATCAAAGTTTTCTTTGACTAAATTTTTTAAGGTTCCACATCATCTTAAAAGCATTCAAATAAAAACAGAATGCCCTCTTATTCGCAGTCAAATGCTTGTATTAAGGCAGCCAGAACCCTTGAAGAGGCATTTTCTGCCTCACCTATAAACCGTCATTCAGGTGCCAGTGGTACACTCAAGAAGAAAAGACAAACAACTTTCAACAGAATATGCTATGGGGAAAAACTGGAAACCGTAGCACTGATTCCTCATGAAAGAGAAACTCAGCACCCAAACTCAAGTGGTAAAGGCCACGGAGGGCTCCCTGAGAATCCAGCAGAACTAAGAGAGGCCATCAACTTTCCAGAAAACCTTTGCAGCTGGATCCCAGTGCGAGAGCATCCCGCAGACAGGAGTAGTGTATACGCGATGAAAACTGCCCAGCTTCCAGCAACTACTGCTGTAGGTCCCATGTCTTCTCTTCCACTTCTCTCTGGGGGAGTGAGAAACACTCACCTTGCCCCTAATTCTCAGCCACAGAAACGTCCCTCTACAAAGGGCTTTCTGAGTTTGGCCCTAGGCCTAGGGATGAAAAGCCTCCTCTTCCCCTCTTCCCCATGGTCCAGCAAACCTTGACTCTCCCAGTGTTTCCCCTTGCCTTTTTTTTCCCCTGTGGAGCTGCTTCCTAATAACCAAGGACAAAATCTGTAACCACACTAACAGGATGGAAAAAGTGTATTTGAAGGAACAAGCCACACCTGCAGGAGTCGTTCCTCTACTGTTCTTGTAGGATCCCCAATAGTTAGCCTCCTGAAGTCATGAAGAGCTGGAAAGCAGCAGAATTTGGTACAGCAGGAAGAGAGTTCAAGAGGAAGAGAGCATTCATTAATACAGGAAACAGAATTCTATGGGAATCTTCATTACAAGAAGAGAGCTGCTCAGTCCCAACTCCCAAATTCCGGAGTGGTACAGCCAAAAAGGGTCTATGTTTTCTTTTTTAGCTCTTCAAATCTCCGGGAGAGGTCATCAAAGTCAATATCCTCAGATGCTGAGGTGTTGGCACCAGCAGACGTGGTCGGTAGTGTATCGGGGACAGACGGCAATTCAGGCAACACAAAGTTGTCAAAGGTATCTGGAGTTTTCAAGGTGGGTCTTGCACGAGCTTCTGGCTTGGGGCCAGGACCTAATTAATTACAATAAGCAAAGAGTTACAAATGCCTGATAAGCCTTCCATTTATAGAATTAAAGAATGGTCAAATTGCAAGTGATCAACTGATTTAATGCTCTCATTTCAAAAAAATGAGGAAACCAGGGCCTGGAGAGGTGACTTGCTTAGATCACACAGCTACTCAACAACAGAAGTTTGGACCCAGTTTCTTGAGTCCTGACTGAGTGTTTTTTCTACTATACTACTATGCCTCAAAAGCCCAGGGTTTAAGTCTTCCAGATTGATTAAAGACTTCATTTCTGTGTTCCCTGAAAACACACAGTCAACTTTCATCCAAAATGCTTAGTTTTATTAAAACATAAGTAAAAAAAAAAAACAAAGCAAACCATAAGTGAAAACTTATTTGAATACTTCATATATCAATAATTTATCAGTGTGCCTAGTCCCTTCTCCCATCATCAAAAATGACAACAACTCAACAACTTGGTAAATGGTCTTCAAAAACCATCATGACCCCAAAATCCAGCTCTTTACAGCCAATCGAGTGATAAGCTTCTCTAAATTTAGCTACGATGGTTCTCAGAAAACAGGCAGACTCAGTTCAGACATATCAGTCCAGTGCATCACCAGGCTCATTAGGGAATATACTTAAAAAAAAAAAAACAAAACACACAGAAAAATGTAATCCTGTGAGGAATTAAATGTGCCACAGTAGTAATGACCTTTTTTGTAATTATGGTCTAATCCTGGGGGAACGGGTAGGGGGTGGGGTTGTTCCTTTTATAAAGGAGGAAAGGAATGGGTTTAAAGGAAGGTCAAAATCTGACATGACAGTTGGACAATGGGACCTATATTCATATTATTCTTCTGCAAAGGTCAAATTATAATGTGGCAAATTCCAAAGGACTCCATTGGAATTTTGTTGTGACAAATGCTGCTTTAAGCACTATATTGACTAGAACTTAGAAATCTTTTTTGTTTTATGTAGATATTTAAATTTAACTAGACCGATTTTCAGACAAGAGACACACATATACCAATAAGCCTGTATGGGGAAAATTTCTTTAATTTAAAATTTTAATTACAGGAATTATTAAAATCCTTGAGGGCAAAGATATTTTCTAATTGTGTTCTTTTTTATTATTTTATTTTTTCCCTAGTTACATGTAAAGACAATTCTAATTATGTTCTAATCCTAAATTTTGCTTAAAATTTTCCTTTGGCTAATTCTAAATTTGGTATCACTCTTCTTTGGTTTTAGTTGTTGAGAACGTTGTTAAAGGACTTGTAACTCAGGTGGACTAGATAGTTTCTAAGGTTCCCTTATAATTCTGACATTTGGTGATTCTAGTTGCATGTGCTGCTAAATATTTGACCTGTGAGAAACGGAATGGCATACATAATAGAGGAAGAGCCGAGCCTGAACTACAGAAGACCTGGGTTCAAGTCTGCCACTGGCACATAATGGCTAGGTGTCCCTGGATAGATCCAGGGCCCCAAATCAATCCTAAAACTGCCACTTGCAAAGAAGATGCTGACTGACACAGGGAGATAGAATTTCCTCACTGAGAGTTCCCTGTAAAAGCTAAACATTGCCCCAGTCTCTCCCCAACCCCCTCTCAAAAAGGAGTTCAAGGGGCAGCTAGGTGGCGCAGTGAATAGAGCACCAGCCCTGAAGTCAGAAGGACCTGAGTTCACATGCAGCCTCGGACCAAACACTTGACACTTACTAGCTGTGTGACCCTGGGCAAGTCACTTAACCCCAACTGCCTTTCAAAAAAAAAAAAAAAGTTCACATTTCAACCTTCTGAAGAAAACCCTGACAATTATACCTTCAATTTAACTATACTGCCTCTTACTATGAAAATATAATCCTACTCTGAAATTTCTTAATCAATATTTCTACTGGGAGTGGAGGTGGTTCTTCTGCCAATTTTCTTCCTGCAAAACAGTTTCTACCTCAGATATTCCTTATATTTTGAGGGCATTTTTCAAATGCAAGTCTTTGAAAGAAAAAAATATTTCATCAGGAGCCAAAGATTCAGAAATTCTAAAGTCCTCACAGCTCCACTGTAAATCAATCACCATTTACTAAGTGTGTTCCCAGCCCTATGTTAGGGGTTAACAGTAGCATGATCAAACATGGCCCTGCCTTCAAGGAGCTTACAATCCAATTGTAAATTAATATATATGAACTAGGGAACACAAGGAAATTAATAACAGTTCACGTTTGTGTACAGCTTAAAGAGAAGGACACAAAGTACTTTCCTCACAAAATGACTGTGAGGTCAATATTGCCAAGTATTACTATCCCCATTTTATATATGAGGAAATTGAAGCTCTAACAGGTAAAGTGACATGCCCAGGTTACCACAGCTACTAAGCATCTAAGGCAGGATTTGAACCTTGGCTTCCTGATTCCAATGATTGTGTTGAATAGATGAAGTTCTCTAAGAATGTAGTGGGGCAAGAGAGTTCAATAAAAACCAAAGTAGATGGATTTGTTAACAAAGAAGAGAGAACTAGGGGAACAAAGAGAGGAAAGGCAGAAATGAAGCATGATATGTTTGTGGGACCAGGGAGAATGCGGAAAAGGAGAAAATAAAGTTAGAAAAAAGATGAGGCTGGATTAAGAAAATTCTTGAAAGCTAGGATGACATTAGGAATGATAAGTAGGTGACAGGGAGACACTGGAGTCCAGAGAGGCTCAACAGAAAATTGCTGAAGAAACCTAGAGAGGTGGAAATGAAGACCTTGAATATGGTGAAGGAAATGGGAATAAAAAGCAAGGATTTGATGGTACCTGATTAGATCTAATAGTTGAAAGACAGAGATAATCTAACCCTAAAATGTATTTTAAAACTTTCCTTTGGCTAGTTTTA